AGAAGATTGATACCACTCTGGTGCTAAATATGAAGCTACAGCCAGCAGCTGGCTAACTTAAGAGACATTGGAATACAGCAAGCCTGTCTCTGTCTGAAGGTAGTGTTGTAATGTCAGGGTGTAAAAACGGCAGATCATCATATGTGCCCGACCAACACCATGGATTTTGTTACGTTTGATCAGAGCCAAGTGAGTTGTTTCCCCGTTTCCAGTCTTAATGCTAAAGTACAGATATCAGAGTACAGACATTTTAGTGTGAAGACATCAGAATGGTATCAATCTTTTCATAAAGAACTCTATATTTCAAATGTCTACTTTAATCAGACTTTTAGTTCAAATTATGAATTCCAAAACCGACAATGAATTTATCTCATCGACAAGTGTTGTTTGTTCATCCAAAGCCTGATTTTATTCCTCTGTGCCATAGAGCTCCAAAAACTTAAATGAGCCCCACTGTTGCATTGACTGACATGTTCCTTCAATACCATGAACACACACACTGTAGTTTATTTTGACTCCACTCCTCACTCCGTCCTACTGCCCCAAATGCTCTCTAGATGCACTATTTACTCCTGTTTGAGTAACGTTTGATAAGAATTATAGTGAGCAGCTGTTTTTAGGAAATTACTGAACCTTTATTTTATAATTCATATATTATTTTTTGTTGTTTTTATTTTGAGTCGGTGCTACAGTCATAAGAGTAAGGCAATTCATTTGTCCTTTGGGATTTCTTAAAATATATTTAATAATGTTTTAAGAATCTTTAGTTGTTTTGATTATAAGAGAAGAATTAACATGCAAGTTCAGCTTTGGAAACCAAACATTTTGTGTTTATTGATAAAAAGTGTTCAATAAAACAAGAAAACATACAAGATATTCTAGACCAAGCTAATGTTCCTGTTTGGGTTTGACCTTGAACTTTGATGTGAAGCCTGTTGGGAATCAGGCACATTTAGGGTTTTACTCAGACTGTGGGGTCAGACAGGTCAAACAATCCATTTGACACACAGGCGGGATGGGGGGGGGGGGTTTAAGTCATTTAACCACACGTTTTAGTTGGTTTTTTTCATCTCCCTCTTTGAAATGACAGAGGCGGCTCCATGCGCACCCACCACTTAGAATTAGTCGAAGTTTTACGACCCTGAAAGCCGACACTCCCTAGACCTCACCTCACTGATTGGGATCAGGCAGCGGACAGCTTCAGTCTAAACTGTTTGGGGACAGAGGTCAGTTGGTGACCAGGTGATTTACAGTTAAAATCCCAGTCCTCAACAAAGACCACAGCAATGAACACAACCTGGGGGCAGGAAGGACACTGTCCTCACTAGCAAGCGAAAGCATAAGTTAGATGTTCAAATACCTTAAATGACCTGTTAACGTTGCAGTGGGACAACGACCATTACCAGCCGGGCAAAGGCGGTAACTGCCCAAGCAACCCAGACCATGAGGGGCCACCAAAGCCCCAGATCCACTGCCTTTCAATTGGTTATGATAATCTGATTGATTGCAAATCTTTAGGGAACTTTCCCCATGTTGTGGCCATGTCTTATAAAGGGACTATTTTAATGTATATTGTGGCCGCATGATACATATTCCAAATAATTTCAGAAATTGAATATAATATTCATAGGAATGTTTTTATTAGAGTGTAGTCACTTTAAAATAGGAATTATTGTGTTTTCATTAGGGGGTAGCCATTTTTATCTACAGATAGGTCTGTGGAGGTTTCTCCCTCGTGGTTGGAAAGGGAGGGTGAAACGAGTGGGTTGCAATCTGCTATTACACCACTAGATGCCACTAAATCCTACACACTGGACCTTTAATGGGAACATGGAGGCGACATTGCACAGAGAGCAGCAGGAGTAATGGCCTCTGGGCTACCTGACAGGTTAATGCAGCCAGGTTAAGGACCCCTTGTGGCTGTGTGAATAATAACTCTTGTGTGTAACCTGATGAAATCTAAGTAAGTGTTGGTTTCTTTTAACTGTGACCATAATTGTTGCCACCTTAAAGCTAACATTTGGAGTTACAGTAATGTTTTCATCCAGTGTTTCTGACCAAAACATATTGTGTTCATCTTTGAAATCATATAGGCACACTGAATACATTTCCTTCCTCATGGGTTTTACATTTTTTGTCAGATATTTTCAAATCACTGTTCACATCCATGTTATGCTAACACGCAGTCTTCTCTCTTGACTTTGCTGCTGCATTGCTACATTTCTTGGCACCACCAACTGTCAACAGAGGAATAGCAGAGAACTTTGGCTGGATTTTATAATCACTTGTGCATGTATGAGATACAATTCAAACCGGGACCCACTCATCGAAACATCATAGCACCACTAATGGACAAAAACACCACAAGTTACCTTTAATTAAATTTTTTGTGGCGAAACCTGTCCAAACTTTTTCCATACAGACAGCAGACGACAAAAAACTGCTCTGGAAAGCACTGACAAACAACCTGTTTTATGAAGGTCTTGTTTGAATCGCTGTCATTATGTTAAAGCTTCAAAAAAGTTAGAATCCCATATTTTCATTTAACTTAATCACAGTCACTTTTAAAGATTTAAAGAATATCAAAATAATAGAAACCATGTGTATTTAATCTGCAATTGTATAATGTAAACTCCTCCTCACATCCTTAAAATCCCCAAATTCCTATAAACAATACTGAGGACATGAACTTGGTGTCCTCAGTGGTGGCTACGGGCCTGTGTAGGCTCACTCAGCGTCCCCCAGGGTAAAGTAAAAAAAAAACAAAAACAAACAAATGGCGACTGAATTCCATGCTAGTTATGTTTTCCACCAGTTTCATGTCAATAGCCTTTACATCGATGTGTTTCAGACCTGCTGTACACTCTGATAAGGGTTTTGTTGTTTATCTGAGGTTTTTGTTGAAATCTCGACTACAGGAGAAAAAGGAGCTGAACCACAAACAGTTCAGTTTGGGAGCCATGGCTCTTGTAGCTTATTCATTATAGCACTAACAAGCCATTTAAAGAAAACTGTAGGACGTGGGCAAAAACCTCCCCCCTAACGTGAGTAAGTGCACTGTGCAACAATAAGCAGCTGAAATCTGCTTTAAGCGAAGTGAAACACGGGAGGTGGAGGGCTCAGGGAGGTGTGTACTGTTTGTTCCGTGATCCAGACCCATCAGTCACTGGGTTTCTGCAGTCTGGAGCACATTCCATGAATCCTGCTGGGTTTTGTTCCCCTTAACCTACAACTAACAACGACACGGTTTGAGTCCTGCAGAGCTGAGTGAGGCAGGCTCGTTCAAACACAACAAAAACAACAAGGATTGTGATTTTACTCCAAAAATCTTTTTGCATAATTTTTGTTATTATTATTATTCTGTATTTTATGGATCTAGAGTGAACATACAGTTTATAATTTGGATAGTGTGACTTCTCATCCTACATCTTTAGGATGCCAGATAACCATTGTAGGTCATAATTATCATATACAGACAATAATTTTGCCCTTTGTACAATCTATGATCAATAATAGCCCAAATCCCTAAATATGGCATTATTTTGTATTGATCTGAATGCACAATATTGAATTGGCCTGAAATACAATAATTCTGGAAGTGTAATGAGAAAAAAAAACTACAAAACTAGTTTGTGCGACACGTTGGAAATCAAATCACAGAAAGGAAATATAACATTAGAAGGGCGTGTTGGTTTCATTTGTAGTTAGAGCCTACATCAAAGTGAAATATAGTTTAAATGCCATTACAAGAACGGTTATGCAGCTTTCACGTTTCAACCAAATGTGGTGGGTTGTATTGTAGAAGCTGAGACTTTTTTTTTTATCTGCAAGTAGCTAAATTAACGATTATATAAGAGAGAAGTTGTGGGAAGATTCATAGGATCTGATGATAGAGTTAATTAGTTTAATGTCAACACAATATATTGATAGCGTCTTTTTCCCGCAGGTTTTTTCTGAGCGGCAGCGGAAAAGGAAATGCGCGTAATTTTGTTGATAGGAGGAGAACACCCAGCAGTTCCCTGTAAGTGCAGCATTGCAGATGTGGTTCGGTTTAGAGGCGGAGGACTGACTCAGATGAGGAGGTGCAGATGGGATGGTTCTCCTCTGTAATTTGCTCTCTGGAAATGAGTAGAGCCATTTCCTCTGGATCGGGTAGGGGGGGTATTAAGGATAATGGGACACCCTGGGACCGACTGTCTCTTAAACTGGGCCAAACTGTGTGGCTCGTGACCTAATTATGAGTGTGTGCTGTCATTAACCTCAGAGTTCAAAATAAATTCAAAATGATGCCGATTCATATCCAGCTAGAACTGAGATACACAGCTTTCTCTTGGTTTTTTTCTTCTCTTGCTTCCTGTCCCTGTCTTTTTTGTCCCTTTTCTAAATCTTCTCTACTTTTATTCATCAACTATTCATGTTTTTCTTCTTTACCTCCTTCACAGGTGGTGGGATGTTTTCTTTTCTGTAATCATGTACTGTCCTGTAGCAGTGGATAGTAGCTATGTTATGTTGCTATGTTGTTTGTGACCCCAGGAAGAATAGCTGCTGTTTCAAGTATAGTTAATGGGGATCCTAATAAAAGAAACAGCCCGATCACACCAGCATTTAAAATGGCGAAATTCCAACGAGTATGAAGTAATCCTCACAATTTTCTTCTACTTTCTGTTCAACTTGGGTGAACTTTGACATGAAGGAAAAAACTGTTCATCTTTGGAATCAAGAGCCAGAGAGTCCAAAAGACTATTGCATCTTAGCTGTATATAAACTGAGTATAAACTGCTCCATGTGGTTGCAAGTGTGACTGGGGTTTTATTCATGTGTGCCTCTTGTTCTTCCTCCCTTCTCTTTACTTTCATTTCCTTTTCTTCATCATCTCCCGAAACACAAAAGATTTTCCTATTTATTTCCATACATTGTGACACCATACCATACCATTAATTCTTTACATGTTTAATGAGTGTTCAACAAAAAAATAACCTGCACTTCCTCATTTTTTCCAGGTCTCTGAAAAGTTCCCTGACGTGAAGAAGAAGGGAAAGGTTCCTCATGCTCAGGATTTAGTAAAGGAGAGTTTTCCAACCAACACCTCCAACATGTGGAACCGGCCTCGCTGTGGCGTACCGGACTATCCCGTCCAGAAGGAGGTGCATTATCGGGGCAGACACCGCCAGAGACGCTTCGTCCTGTACGGAGGACGTTTGGAGAAGACGGACCTCACCTACAGGTATAGATCTGCAGAGAGCATACCCAGTGTGCACGTCTGTATGTGAATTGAAATAAAAAGTTTTTTATATTTTTGTAATATTCCCTCCAGCTTGCTTTTTTAACCATTTGTGCCTGTAATTCAATTAAAAAGACTTAATTCGTCCTGCCGCGGGCAATTTGAGGTAACAACCAAATGCATAAAATACAAAATCCAGTCAGCACAGATGAGAAGTCCTAAAAGTGTCATTGTCCATGACAACGAATGAACTTAATTGATCATAAAACTGTGTGATTTGTTTGAAATGCTCCAACAAACGAGTAAGTGAGCGTGGCCTGCAACTTTACTGTTCTGGTTGACTCTCACTGCTCTCATTGTGTTGTTTTTTGCTGCAGCAGGCAGCTCAAAAAACTCACTGTACACCGCCTGCTCAGCAACAGCCATCAGACAGACACAGGTAGAGACTAGCTGGTGAACGCAGGGGAGCATTTAGAAGAAACAGATACTTCCCTCAAGAGTTGGAAGAGACCAAAACCAAAGCTAAAAGAATACTGGACTGGGACTACTTTGTCAGGTGGAAGCAAACACAAAACCACACACAACAAACACCACAAAATGGTGACACTATTTCAGGGGGATCAGTGAGATTTTAAAAACACTGCATGAGGAACTGAAGGAAAAATACCTATTATAGTACCTACATACATTATGTCTTGAAATTATATTCTGAAAAACGGGTGCTGGCTTTCTTTCATCTAAGGTCTTGGCACCATCAGGTGTCTGGCAGTCCTCTGCTGGCTGCTGCCTCTCTGTCTGTGTCTCCTGGGGTCCCTTTCATTGTAGTCATTCTTTAACGCAACACTACATTAAGACATAGAGAAAGAAGGGGATGCAGAGTTATTTTAATAGCAGCACCGGCCACAGACTAATAAGATTCTGCTGGATTGGACCAATAAAGTGCTCACAGTGACACCTGACAAAGTGATGTGGTTAACCAGGATCATGGCAGCAACCCGCAAAGTCAAACTATACTTCTGCATGACCTAACAGGGCCACCATCCCTACTTAATGATGAGTGTAGAAAGAGTGGAGCCAAGCTAATGAGCCCCTGTGTTTACTTTTTATTTAGAATCAGCCAGCATTTTGAGCTTGTGAAGCAAGTTCTGGCACGACACGTGAAGTCATGCTGGGTCAGCTGGGAGCAGAGTTGTTTTAACTGCTTTAACGGTTGTTAACGAAACTGAAAAGAAGCTCTCAGGTGGCTGCAGAACGTTAATGGGTTGAGCTTGTTATGGTGCAGTCACAGGAGGTGAGGCCAGCTGAAAAAAACTTTTTATCGACTTTTTATCTGCATTTAAAACTTCATTCTTCATATTTTAATATATAATATATAAATGCACTTTGTTGAACTTGCATATGTATGGTTACATTTGTAGATAGATGTGATGTGTCAGGTGTTTTTAAAGGTTTTCAGCAGGAACCAATGGGCTTGGAGGTAGGGAAGTCAGAAAGTATACAAATATAGAATAATGCCTGCGTTATACTTTGTAAAACCTAGGTGTAATTACACATTTCAAGCTCAGCAATGTGGGTTTGATGAGTCACTATCAGAAAAATATTTCCTTATCTGAATCAAGGATTCAAGGACGGAGAGTGTCGTATGCTGTACAGATTGTAAAGCCCTATAAGGCAAATTTGATATTGCGCTATATCAATAAAACTGACTTGACTTGACTTAATCTATAGGGCATTTGTGCAAACAAAATAAGCTAAAGGATTTCAACCTACTGTATATGAACTTTGCACTAAGGAAAGTCTCTTTGTGCAAACCACAATCTGCACAGGTATTTGCACCTTTGCAGTAGACTTATTGTGCAATGCGTTTGCCCAAGCAAACTTCAAATGTATGATCAAATAGAAATGATTTTCTGCCAGTTCTTTAATGTGTGGATATGGCGGTCTGCACACCTGGGTTTAAATGAATATTGTTCAGAAAATATAACGACGTAGCTCTACCTCTCGCCCTGCAGTGTATACTTAATGTACACAAAAGAGACAGTGGTTGAGATGAATGCCAGCGGTATTTTTATTGCTTGTGTTTCTCTAAATCAAGGCCACATTTCCCATAAACCCTGCTGCTTCCTGTACCTCTTGACCCTTGTTGCATGAAGAAAGACACAAGCTGAAATACAGCCAGTATGAATTCTTGCAGGTAAACTTAGATGCTTGGGGCTGACAGTCCTTCCTGTTTTCAACCATAAAATGATGCAGCCGATTTTTCTGGAAATCCAAACCAGTAAATACAGAGAACACAAGAGGCTGACAGCCTTTCTTAGAGATTGTTTTATTTGTCTGCAGTAGCTGTAATTATATATCTCCCAAATCTACTTAATTGATGCTGAAAATGACTACTTTGACTTTGTTCCTTTACACCAGTAAACCCTGTATATGCAGACCCCAGGAGGCTGATTGTTATTTAGGTCATGAAGATACCTTAATAAACAATAACCAACTGCTTAAACTGCTCATATACAGAATTATCAGTTAGAGGCTAAAGGAATAGTTTTTGGTAAATGACAGCTCTGTACACACATGACAGTGATTTCAATCTTCTCATCTCACTCACAGAATGTATATGAGCATATTCCAGCATACTCTTCACAGCTCACACAGATGTAAGCTACATACTGTAGTTGTTAGTTAAAGGATGATTGTGTATTAGCAGCATCTAGCAGTGAAATTGCAGATTACAACCAACTGAATAACTGCTCACCTACCAAGTGTGTAGGAGAAACTACGGTGGCCCTATCTAGAGCCACTGTTTAGTTTGTCTGTTCTGGGCTACTGTAGAAAACATCACAGTCCAACGTGCCCAACTATTTCTTGGCTGGAACCAGTAGCTTATAGCAAATCCCCCACCGTAAAACGGCAAATTGTTGTTTTCTTTGTAAGGATCATAAAAACGTGATAGAGTGTTGGTGAACTTTTTTCCAAGCAAAAAGCAAAAGTTGTCTCAACCAACTCTCAAACTCTGTCAAACTATTCCTTTAATGACAGTATTGAACTTGTGCCATCTCTACAACCTGGGATAAACTGTTACCATCTTATTAACAACTGATTACAGTATGTTGATCACTCAAATTGGTTGTTGATTTATTCCAGACTGAAATATAAGGATTTACTCTCATTTTAATGCAGCAGCAACTGTCTGATTCGAGTAAAAAAGTGGCAAATTTATCCGATACTCTTTATCATATATGAAGTGTTCCCTGTCCGGTTGGGAAGATAAGGGGGTTTCTCTTCTTTTTCCCACTCATCATACTGGGTGGTTTTATCAAAGAGGAAAGGGAGGAGACCATAATGCAGTGTTTTGTTAGGGAGCCTGAGGGCGTCAGTAACAGCACACCTCCCCGCCGATGAGACGGTTGTAGATATCAGATTAGGGGAAGCATTCGAGGCCGGTGGTCCCTCTCTGCTACTATACATCCTGTATGTGTGTTTGACACCTGCATTGGTCTCCTGCAGGATCGTCCGGTTTCCCCAGCAGATGGGGGAAGAAAAGGTTCGACGTGTCTTTCGAGAAGCGCTGAAAATCTGGAGTGATGTCACCCCGCTCACCTTCACCGAGATCCACAGTGGGAAGGCCGACATCCGCATCGAGTTCACAAGGTGGGAGGACTGAGACATGGGGGAAAAAACATCTTTAAAACATGATTAAAAAGAAAAAGCACCCTGAACACATGCAGATATTATTGCCAAAGGAATTAATTTGTTTTGTGGCAAAAGAACACTAATACTTTTAGCCATGCTACCAGCTACTTTGATTAATAAAATAGAATTATTGAATGGATTGACATTACATTTGGTTCAGACATTCTTGCTTAAGATGAATTGTAATGACTATTTCATAATAAGTCCAACACTTTGGTTTATTCCCATCAGCCTCAGCTGCACTTTGTGTTGACTGCTAGTTAGCAAATGTTTGCATGCTAAAGATGGTGAACATTATACCTGAGAAACATCTACATGCTGGCATTATCACTGTGAGCATGTTAGTTTGTTAAGATAGGAGCATTTAGCTCAAACCACTGATGTGTTCAAGGACAGCTTCAGGAGGAACACACACCTGCAGAGTATGAAGTTTCAGAACACTGGAGCCCATTGTTTTCTGTTGAAGCCCACAGCTTGGTGGTATCCTGATGTACATAAATACAGGAAAGCAGCAGATTTATCACATTTGCTCCTTAGATCTGCGACTGTACCCGGTCGTGTTCCGGTGTGTGTTGCAACTGTAGAGTCAACAGCCATGCTAGTGGCTCCGCTTACTACTCCTTCTCCTACCCTTCAGCTACTTTGAGCTAAATGCTAACATGTTGGTGTTAAGCAGGTATAATGTTTAGCAGAACCAATGGTACATGGTTCACTCTTGATAAAAATGACAACATGCTAGTGGCACTGGATGAAACCTCAGAGGATCGTCAAATAATTAGGAAATATCATCTTGGAACCATGAATGAATGTAGAAAGCCCTCCAATAGAGAGCTCAATGTGATGTCTTCAACAGAACTTAAAGATATTTACAAATTTGCATTTTTGCTTGAAAAATGACTAAAACAATACTTTAAAGTAGTGACAGGGTCAAACAGGTTCATGAGTTTAGGCCGAAAGAATCAGACCAGTTCAAATTAGATTTTATTACAAAGAGCTTCAAAGAGCCACAGAGACAGAAACAAGAGATAGTAGAGAAAGAAAGGAGGAGCAGATTATTATCTAGATATAAAACTAGAGTTTTATGTGGGATCTGTGTCATCTTTGAAATGACGCATTCTCTTTTATGTTGCTTTGTTTGTTATTCCTGCAGAAATTTCTTGTTTTTCCCCTTCTGAATCATGGGTTTGATTCAAACTTTATTGTCTGTGATGCCACAGCAGTCTTTGCTTGCCCTGCTGCACAAACATACCTGGGAAATTGTTTCACTTTGACAAAAATAGGGATTCACGCATCTCACTACAGTAATTTTACACTGACTAACAGCTAACACCACATGCAAATGTCATTATCACATAATAATAATTCCAAATTGATTGTGTATTAAAAATTGGAAATATTGTAAGTACATGGTACAAATGATTAATAATTAATTACGTTTTTGTTGTTTAACTGTACAATTTATTCATGTATTCAGTTATGCTTTTGACTCTTCCGATAACCTTTTCACTGCAGTATGTCGATTTGACAGCTTTTCATTGAACGGGTGCCAACTTGGGTTCTGGTACGTTGTGATGGGTTGGTTCTCAACTGGCAGACTGTTTGATACTTATTGACATTGTTTTAAAACTGTTTAGAACAGTTGGATTTATAAAGTGCATCATGCTTTAAGCCTTCACAGTGGCTTTCATGTTCATCAGAGTGTTTGATTTACGGACCTGTAGGTACTGGCATGGAGACAACCTTCCCTTCGACGGCCCGGGTGGGATTCTCGCTCACGCTTTCTTCCCCAAAACACACCGACAGGGCGACATTCACTTTGACCACGATGAGTCATGGACCCTTGGAAACCACATGGGTGAGTGTTTGGCTGAGAGGGCAAAGACAAAGAAAACAGTTTTTAGTGAACAGTTTGTTTGATTTTTAGTTCAAATAACATTTCAATCTTTCTTACTTTATTTTCGCTTTTAGTAGAACAAAAAACTAGAACGTTACCCCAGTTTTAGCATCCCTCATTGGCTTCCCAATGCTTTCAGAATACAGTTCAAAATTCTATTAATCACTTACAAAAGATTAAATGAATTAAAAGGTCCATATCACTATTTTCAACAAAAAATACATCTTTTCTTCTTCTCTTCTTATTATTTATTAATATTATTGTTACACACACATGCAAAAAACAACTCCAAAGTAAACCTCAGATAGGCCTGAAATTCCCCCTCCACTCAAAAATATGTTTTTCCTCAAGTCCATTTACATAGTACAAATAATAATAATAATGCATAATAATACAGGATAAAATATTAGTAAAGGCTTGTGAAAACAGTGCAAATGTGGCCAAGGTTAGCCACATTCATAAGGGCCAGAAAGGACTATGATTCTAGGAAGTGCCATTATTTGTTATTCTACTGTATCAGTATTAACATGCAGTAACCATTTTGCCATTTTTTTTTTTAAATGGACCAACACAGTCTCAATAACTGTTGCAGACTGCTTGCTAAAAATCTAATTTTAGAAGATGTTTGTCATGAGCTTTAAGTTTGGTTGATAGATTACTTAAAATATATTGAACTATATATTGTTTCTTGGATGCAAAAATGATCTCACAGGTTGAGTTCACCATCAGCTCAGGTATGAAAGTCAAATACATCCGATACAATCTGTAACACCAGGCTTTATCAGAGCAACACAGGGGCTGAGAGCAGATGTGAGTCAGCAGGAAGAGGAAGCAGTGAGGTACTTTTTTATGATTCTTTGTTGACACTGTGTCATCTCGGGTAGCAAAATCCCCACCGTCTGCCACTGCAAGCTGGTCAAAACAAACGCCCAAAAGTATTTCCAGACACCATTTGACCCCGGTGTGGTTTTGCATCCTCTTAAGGCTTGTATACCACCCCTGCAGGCACAGATCTTCTCCAGGTTGCTGTCCATGAGTTCGGGCACGTCCTGGGCCTGCAGCACTCCCGTGAGGCAGGAGCCATCATGTCCGCATACTACTCCTTCTCCTACCCGCTGAAGCTGAGCGAGGATGACAAGCAAGGCATCCAGTACCTGTATGGAGCTCACCCACAAGTCCTGCCCTCACCGCCACCCCCACCCCCGCCTCCAGTTCCGTCTAACCCAGAGACCAATGAGATCGTCACTAGTGTGAGTGGAGCCGATGCAACATTTAAAGAAGCAATCATGTGGCGACTGTACAGGTTGATAAGATTTTGACAGTTTGAATAAAATATGGCAAACAAGCTCAAAATAATTGGTCATTTCAAAGAGTAAAAAATGGCTATGGAAGTGGATGGTTATGAATAAAACATTCTTAATAAATGTTGCCTTACAAATCCTGAAAAATGTGCCAAAGCGTATCTGCAGGGTGTCGTGACACAAGTGTGCAGATACGCTTTGGTCCAGACTGAAAGCTCATTCAATCATTCATGGTTCCCATATGATGAAACACAGATAATCTCTAAACTAGCGTTTTATCTATTGGCACCATGGTGTTGTCTTTTTATTTTTAGAGTGAAATGTCTCAGCCTTTTATTTTTAACAATGTAATTTCCCAAAGCAGCTGGTTGCTGTAGTTTTCAACAAACGTTACTCAAAGAGGAGGAAATGTTGTTTGGGACTATTTTCAGCGGAGGATTTATCCATGTTTGGTCCTCTAGTGAGTATTTGGGATTATTAATAGTGTATGTGTGATTGAGTCAAAATAAAGCACAGTGTGTGTTCATGGTAATGAAGGAACATGTCACCCAGTGCAACAGTGTGGCTCATTGTGTTTGTAACAGTTTTTGTACAACAATGGAGCTCTAAGGCACAGAAGACTGAGACATCCACAAGGAAACGATTCAGTTTTATGGGATTTGTTGAAAAGAAGAAAACTATAGAATACCACCAGCCTATCCTTTAAGAGGCAGCAGTGGTTTCTGTGGTTATAACACAAAGAAAAAGAGTGGATATCTTTGAAACTACACCACATCATACAAGAGTGTATTTCTGACCCATACATGATAAACGAGGGTTAAAGACAGAACTCATCTTGTAGTCCCATAAGAGTTTCTCTCGGGCGAACAAAGGGAAAAGGTTCTAAAAGGTTCCATTTAAGATTATTTTCTCGTGTAAACTTGTAACTGAGAGGTTTTTCACTGGAGCACGAAAACCTTCTCCTTTATATTGGGATCCTTTCAGACAATAAAACGGCTTCTTAACACTTCATCCCACTGCAACAAAAATGGCTCTTTAGTGAGAAACTTAATGTTTATTACAGCGTGTGGAAATGAACAAGTGATCTGTCTTATTTCCAGCCCGACGCCTGCCAGACGGACTTTGAAGCTGTGTCTATGATCCGAGGGGAGCTGTTCTTCTTTAAGTCGGGCTATGTTTGGCGAATCAGGGACGGGCATCTGGAGAGCGGTTACCCAGCGTTGTCGTCCCGTCACTGGAGGGGGATTCCCGACAGCATCGACGCCGCCTTTGAAGACAAGTCAGGGAATATTTGGTTCTTTCAAGGTGGGCATCGATGTTTAAGCTGCTGTTATGTGGTTTATGGTTTCATGTGACTGCAGGATCATCAAGAATCATGCACTTTTAGGCAAGTTTCAACAGGTGTAAAACGTTAATTAACACAAAGCTGTGAAATCATTTAAATCTTTCTGTGAATATTTCCATTAGATGTGGTTACAGTAGGTATGTACAATAGTGTGTGTTTCAACCAAATCTGAGTTACATATTACTGTGTTTGCTCTTCAAAAGTTTACTATTTCTTTTACCACACCACATACATTGTCTTGATGTGGTGAACCTTAAGCATTATGATGTAAACTCTAGCTAATGCTCTTATCGCACTCAAAAACACCTCAACAGGAAACATAGATTAAACCTCTGACTTTTGATTGGATGTTGTCTCCGCTGAGCTACACTGCAGCCCCAACTGATCATTCAGAAATAGACATAAGAGAAAAAGAATGGGGATGGAAATTAAATGGTAACCATAAGGAAATTGTTCATTTTTTATTTGGTGACCAAACACACTCTAGCAGCCATGTTGGATGTCTTTCAGTCTTGGGTGGTTGCCAACAGCTCTGTTTGTTTGGCGGAGGTCATAACATAACTGAACAGACAATCATACTCTATGTACTGTTCCGACAGGGAACAGATAAACACTGACACATCTGACTGAGTTTGTATGTTACAGTTTATCAGTTGTTCCGTACTGTTAAAATCCATAAAATGTCACTTATTCAGGGGTCGTCAGTTTACTCAGTGATAATTTCCTTAAGGAAAAAAGATGTGAATCACTGATTTATGTGACACAACAAGCATTTACAGCTATCTCACCCAGTTATATAATGATATATCTAAGCAGTGAGAGTGTCAACTGTATAAAATACTATAACTAATATAGACATGTCAAAGATTTAAGTCAGTGTGTAAAATAGCATCAGTTGCACTATCAAGCATGAAACCTACCAACAAGAGTTGAATGGCGTCCATTGTTCACTATCTCTGTGAGCAGGTGAGAGCTACTGGGTGTTCGATGCTGAGAGGAAGATCAGAGGGCCGGAGTCCATCAGGAGTTTGGGTCTGTCAGAGTCCGGGATCCAGGCGGCTCTGCGCTGGGGCCACGACTCCAACTACAACACCTACTTCTTCAAGTCAGGCAGCTACTGGAGGTTCAGCCCCCGTGAGAACCGCATTGAGTCCGTCTACCCGCGCAGCATGCAGGACTGGAGCGGCATCCCCGACGATGTAGACGCTGCTTTCAGGGACATCTACGGTATGACCCAAAAACTAAAAGTTAGCAAGTGAACAAAGCGTTCCTATTTGGTTTTTAAAAGTTAGTATGTTAGTTACATTTTGATACTCCAAGATTGATATGCTCATGGATAGGAATTTGCAGGTTCTTAAATTATAATTTGATTTAGTGTACCAGTACTGTACTAAGGTCAGTGGTGGAAGAAGTATACCAATCTTGTTCTAAAGTAAAAGTAGCAATTATCACAATAAAGATACTCAATTACAAGTAAAAGGTCTGAATTCACAATCCCACTTGAGTAAAAGTGATTATTAGTACTGATGCATTAATTTGTAAGTATCATTTTACTGTTGTAGCTGCTTCAGGTGGAGCTAGTTTGAACTACTATATATACAGTTAGCTGTTTAGTCCAGTGGTTCCCCACCTAGGGATCACAAGATAAATCTGTGGGGTCATGACATAATTAACGGGAAAGAAAAGAAGAAATAAAAACATCTGGCTCAACAATTTGTATTAATTTTTTTGACTTTTCTCTAATCTTTGCAGTTTTTTGTACAGTATTGGGTGATTTATTTAATTGGAACATTTTTGGGCCTCAAACTGTTACTTAAATGAAACCATGTGAGGGGAGTAGCCCCCAGCTGTAAAAAGATTGGAAACCACTGGTTTAATCAAAACAATGAATTATATTTCAAAACATTATGATATGTTTTTTAATGTAAAATCTTAAAAAGTAACTAGTAATTATAATTGTCAAATAAATGCAAGTAAAGTGCAAGTATCTTAAAATAATGTGCTTACTTTCCACCACTGACTGAGGATACCTTATTGACAATCAAGGGGGAAAGAGAACTCGTTCACTGGCCTGGTCAACCATCTGCTACTGATCAAAAGAGATTCCTAAACTTGTTTTTTCACAATAAATATGTTTTCTACCTTTTAGGCTATGCTCACTTTATCCGAGGACGACAGTACTGGAAATTCGATCCGGTTGGCATGAACTCTTTGGAGGGCTACCCTCGCTACATCGGCATGGACTTTTTCGGCTGTAGAAACGTGAGAATCTGATTAGGTTTTTTTTGTTTTTTTGTTTTTTTTTATGACAATGAAGAGGAGAGAAAACAGATAAGTTTATGTTCAAGCGGATGAGACGGTCTCCTTTAAATCTGTTTATACTTTACTCCATTTATTGATACTCTGATCAATTACACCTTCTTCTCAGGAAAAAAACAAGGTTTGTTTCCTCAGACTTGGCACCTCCTGTGCAGCTATACTCATATTTATTTTGCACATTTGTCACCATACAGCTGAGATCTGGGACATGTATTAATGATGTGTGATACTGACGTGAACTGCATTGTTCTTACTTCCTGTTATTGAGCCTGAAATTTAGATTTTTGACTGATTTTGGTTCCCAGACGGAACCAGTACAGACTCCATGTAGTGGATGTTTTCCATTGTTTAATGGATGGACTTGCTGATCCTCAAGTGTTTGAAGAGTGACATCAAACTTAAAGCTGCGGAAGGTAGATTTGTTTGTTAGCTGCTGTTGATGGCGGTGAACCTTTAATACTGTAACTTTAAACCTAGAAATCCTTCAACGTGTCCGTAAACAACATTTTTAGCTACACTTTGTTCTTTTGAGAATTTGATCACACATGCAGTTGATTTTCCTGCTAACCTGACTCACACTGACCATTAATCATAACAAGTCACATTGTTTTCAGTTTGCTTATAGTCTTATAACCTGCATAAAGATTATTTGTGACACAGTTGTAACTTTGATCGAGCATTATGGACTGTGTGTGTGTGTGTGTGTGTGTGTGTGTGTGTGTGCTCTTTATCAGCTGAATGTCTCCTGCTCAGCCTTTTAAAGAGCTTTTGGTTTCGTGTCCTGAAATAAATCTCTCAGGCGGCACTCACTCCTGCGCTGTGTAGTGTCACCAGTAATCAAGTTTCCATCCATATGTAGGAAATTTTAAAAATCAGTAAAAGAAAATGCTAATTTTAAGGCACGACTCCATCCACTACTGTTGTGCGAATATTCAGATTTGGTTGTGTTGAGCTAAACAGATTCACCAATTCTCCACTCAGGTGCCATTATACCATTGCATAAGAGGGAAGAACAGATAACCATGTGGAAAATATGATGGAAATATTGCATTTATGTTTATTTCATGTATTAATGTGAGCAACATTACAGTCTCTACTCAACGCTCCACACAGATCTGATATTCTCATCTGTCACTATTTCTCATCTTCATGCTTCATATAGTCATGATTTATTCACAAAGTCTCTTTCCATTGCACTTTTAGCTTTTATTGAAATTTTTTCCTGAGTGACTCAATTCAGGGCAAGAAAATCCCAAATGTCCTTTCAAGTAGGTCGACATTCATCCAGTTTCTTCTAGGCATAAAGTTGTAAACATGTAAAGGAGTTGTTAGCAGTGTTAGCTTGCCAATGTTTAAGAGAAAGTTTTGTATTTATTTTTCATATGTGGGCAAATTGAGCCAATATACAAGTTTTCAGTGAGTAGGGATGTGATGCTCTCTGTTGTTGTGATTTAGGCTAATTAAATTATATTTAAATTATTAATTATTTCCTCATGTAGCCGTTAGATGTTATGTTACCTACTTCTCTTCCCTGGCAAAACAAAATGATGTCTGCATTTGAAGAAATTAGGAGTTCATATGGGAAGAAAATGTGATGATATAACACTGTATGTCATGTTTTGATGTCACTCTTCCAACACGATGGTGTAAAGCTCTTAGTTGTTGGTTATCACTCATCAGTCTGTAGGCCTCTGTGGCAGTAAAAGGCTCCAGGGCGCCATCTAGAGTGCAACATTGTCACCCTGCAAGAGAAGAGTGATATTTCCTCAGAGAATGTCCACATATATTGTGATGAAGTCATTGCTTTTCTACATTGTAACATGGTGATCTATTCAGGTTGGTGAGTGTGACACATTCAGGGACAGCAGCTGCTGCATGGATCAGCGGTTCTCAACCTGGTCAGTTAGTTACTACCAGAAACAAACTGATGACTTCACTCTATTTTTGCTTCTCAGGCTGTTTTGCTAAATTAGTAGACTAAGCAAGTGTTTCACAAGAATATATCACATATCTTATTAGCTGGATGGCAGTGGTGGAAAGTACATTCACTCAAGTACAATTTTGAAGTACTTGTACTTGAGCATTTACATTTTCTACTCCACTACGTTTCAGAGACAAATATTTTTCTTTTGGGTGACAGTTTTACATTAAAAACATAAATTACAACACACTGTCCAAAATCCATGTATCCAGAACTACATACTGAATATATACAGTATATACTACATACTAATCATCATAGTATAATGTTACTATGTTACTGTACAAAAAAACAACATACTTTATTGGACAATACGTGCAAGGTCAGAAGCCATCTTGAAACATCCAAATCACAAATGTTTTTTCTAATATTTGATGTAATTCTTTTTGCTTTCTGGAGTTGTTTCACCACCATCCACAATTTTCTTTAATGATTTCCAGCTGTGAGCTGCTCATCCATTTCCTCTGTGCATTGCATTGCATTGAGAATAGTTTGGATCAACAGCACACTAAGACTTGACCATATCTAATATGCATTCTGTCTGGTCTGAGTGTACTTGTGTCACTTTTCCAGTGTGAACACGCTACAGAATCAAAACCTGCTTAGCAGTAGTATGTATGGGTCTGGGACACAGTGTGAACTAGCCAGTTCCAATCTTTTTGGCTTGTGACTGCTTACAAAAATCAATGTGTATTTGGGGCCCCTGTCGTGTGTCAGATGTCTATGACTCGTTCCACCAAACAAACGTTTCACCTCTCAAATGTTTAAGGCAGAAGGAGGCCAAATTATCTAACATTTCACAAAGAAGATCTCATGTCCCCTCAGATTTATCCTATGACCTTTGGGACTGGCCGACCCATAAACTAGCGAACTGTATATAAAGTAGTTGAAACTAGCCCAACCTTGAGCAGCTACAACAGTAAAATGCTGCTTACACATTAATGCATCAGTATTAACAATCTAATATTTGTCATATATGATAATATATCTGTCACAGGGGACATTTTCCTCATAATACTTCTGTACTTTTACTTTAGGACTTTCACTTGTAATGGAGTATTTTTACACTGTTGTACTGGTACTTTTACTTAAGTAAAGTATCTGACTACTTCTTTAACCACTGCTGGTTAGAAACAGGATCTCATGGACCTGAAAATAACTCATGTCATGACCTTTTTGTGGGTCAGGATGCCCAGGTTGAGACCCACTGATCCATCTAATGTGACATTTCCTCTGCCGTGTCCCTGGTTGCAGCACTCGAAATGTGAAGGCTCAGTGCAAACTGTCATGTTCATCAGATGTTAGTTTTTCAGTGCAGGACACTGACGAGTCATTATAGTTTTCATCATTCAGACTTTGTTGTTTCTTTACAGTCTGTTGTTTGAATCATTTCGCAACTCATTTCAAGTGTTAATCAGTGAATTCTGACTGCTTTGAAAAACTATTTATACACAAACAACTTAGCAAACGTTTGTTGTACATATCTGTCTTTGATTATTATTTTTTTTACTCATATGTAGCCTATACCCTGTACATTGAAATGTATGAACTATGTATTGTTTCATTTCTAATAAAACCATAACCTTTTTACCAAACCCTCTGCCTCTGGATTGATTCAAGTTAATTCACCACACAAACATAATGCAAGAAAAATGTCAAACTAGACATTTCATACTTATATTCATATTTAACAAAAAACATTTTCTTAAAATTAATAATAAATGTCAGCTGTCTTTCAATCGAAAACATGACATTTATTGCATATTAGACTGAGAAATTATCCATATTAAAATGTGGCAGAAAAAAAATATTTTGTAAACAAATTCTCAGTCACAATATTGGAGAGCTTATTTTTTAAATTTCTATTTTATTAAAAAAAAAAAAAGTAACCATAGAAATTACATTTCTGCATCTGTATGGAAACTGGTTACTCTAATGTGTTAAAAGTCTACAGTGTATGTGGGATGGATGGTGTTAATTGGTGAGCAAATCCGAGTGGCTGGTGCAGTTAGTGGGCGGGGCCTGTGCTGTTCATTCAGTGAGTAAATCATGGTTGACAGGGAGGCAGCAGCAGCAGCTATGGCTCACAGCTTCACTCAGGAGTATTTTCAGATCCCCGTGGTGACCCGAGCATACACGACCGCCTGCGTCCTCACCACCGCTGCTGTGGTAAGACTACAACAACTACAACAACTCAGTAACAATGAAGAGAAAAAAACTCTAGTTTAAACTCTAACCTCCAAGCTCTGATCAGACATGAAACAATTATTTAAGTAAAAAAAACATTGATTTCTAGCTTTAAATACATGACACTAAACTGGTTTAAAGTGTTAACTCTGAGATGTATGAGATTTGAACTGTTCGTTAAAGTACCAAAAGGGTTTGAAGTATCAGTTTGAGTGCACATTAAAAGTATCTGAAGTGCCAGTAGAAGTGTAAAGTAGATGATATTTCAGTTGAGGGTTAATTATTGAGCTGAAGTTTCAGCTAAAGTGAAATTAACAACAGGTAACAGTTGAGCTGTTAGTTTTTGTGTTACCTTAAAATGAGCCGTTTATGTCTACGGATGCTGCGGGACACCTTCCATGGAGTCTGCCATGTTGAAAAGCCATGTTTATATAGTAGCCCAGAAGGGACAAGCCAAAGACTGGCACCAGATAGGGGCGTTTGCGTTTTTCAGCCACTGTACTGTGAGGATTTAAAATTAAAGCACATAGTTTCTGCTTTGCGCTTGGCAGGGGAGGGTGAAGCGAGGGAGTTGCGATCTGCACTGCTAGATGTCACTAAAGCACACTCACAGGCCTACTTAAGTGTAAACACTGAGTGCAGTTGATGAAGGTAGTTGAACTGTCAGTGGAAGAGTTAAAATCAGTTGAGTTGAGTTGAAATGTTGTTTGACATATAACAAGTGAAAGCAGCTGTGTCAAGTTCAATGTAAGCAGCTTAATTTTTGTTGAAGTGTAAACTTTAAAAGTAGTTGAACTGTTACATAAGTGATGAAAAGCAGAAGTTAAAGGGAAAGGTCTTGAAACAGTTGAGCTGTTGTTTGTTAAAGTTGAAGCTTAAGTGTTGTCTCTGAGTCCAGAACTCATTTAAAGTGTATGGGATGAAAGCAGTTGAACTGTCAGCTCAAGTAAAGCACTACAGATAGCTGTGGTGTCTGCACCTGCATTGACACCAGTTTAAGTGAGAGGTAAAAGTTGAACTCTAAGATAAAAGTGAAAGCAGTTGAAATGTCAGTAGATTTGTAATGGGTGAAAACACTGGAAGTGGCAGTTAAAGTGTACACGAAGAAAGTAGTTGGACTGTCAATAAATATTATTGTTTATATTCTGCTTATAAAGGGGGGGTTAAAGTTGTTTCACAAATGCAACAAATCAAATATCCAAAAAATAATTACTATCCAAGCGTGTCTTGATGCCTAACATGCTGTTTATTGTTTTTTTTAGCAACTTGAGGTCATCACCCCCTTTCAGCTCTACTTTAACCCAGAACTCATCATCAGAAGATACCAGGTAACATCCATCAACTATTACATATTACAGTATATGGAACGTTATTACATTTATACTCTTTTTTTTTTCTGTCTTTCTCTCAGATATGGCGCCTGATAACCAGCTTCCTCTTCTTTGGTTCTCTTGGATTCAGTTTTGTGTTCAACATCATCTTTCTGTATCTTTTATCAGTGTTTCCTCAGGCCAAAACAGAATAATATTTCAGTTCATCTATAATAATAAACTTAACTAAATTAAGTTATCGATACTGTCGGATGCTGGAGGAAGGCTCTTTCCGCGGAAGGACAGCAGATTTTGTTTTCATGTTCCTGTTTGGAGGAATCGTGATGACTGTATCCTTTTAGCAAAATAACAACCTGTAAAAAGGTTTTACAGCACTGATGCTTAAACTAACGCTGCCATGACATCCTGAAGTATACTAACTTAAAGGGTCAGTTTACACAAATTAACTCATTGTTTTTTGGGTTTTTTTTTTCCACAACCAGAGCCAATGGCGATATAAGTATTTAATGCCAGCTACTGTACTTGCATCCTGACTCTTTTTGATGATGCTCAGTAGTTTGGAGCCAGAAGCTCTTGTTCACATTCCAGGTTAATGATACAGTCCTGGGTATGTTTACCACAGACGTCCCTCGGGGCTGTTGTGAAACAGTCAGTGTGCGGGTTTATGGGTTTTTCTGGAGCCGTGTTGTGTTTCATGGACAGTTTTAAATGCAGGTGTATGAGGCCTAATTCTGCTGTAATATCAGGATAGTAAAGTGTTAAATGTGTTATCAGTAACAGACAGTAACATGACTAGCTGAAAGGAATGTTGTAGGTTCACTTTAATTAAAAAATAACACCAGCTCTGACTAAACGTACTATACGATACTCACTCTTTAGGGAACTGCATCATGTTATCAAGTACCATGAAATTATGTCCAGTACTGTAAATATAGGGTTTTGTTAACTTTTCTGGAGGCAGAAATATGCCAAAACAAATAGTCAATACATATGTTTGACTTAATGTCATAATTTTGCCTCATAGTTAAAACTTCAAATTAATATTTCAAACAATTCTTACTTCAAGTTTGACTAATGTCACAGTTTGAGTCCAGCGATAAGGTTATTCCTGCCAACAGAGCTGGTTTTTCCGTTTCCATCTAAAACCGACACTCTCAGGTGTCATTTCACTGTCACAGCAAACACGGAACAAAGAGATTAATAGTATTTAACCTGAAGGCCCACAGTTGTTTGGTCTGTTCGCCAACGTCTTCTTCCTGGGTCAGGCCTTCATCATCATGCTTGTGTATGTGTGGAGTAGAAGACATCCGCTCATACGCATGAACTTCTTTGGCCTCCTGAACTTCCAGGCCCCATTTCTCCCCTGGGTGCTCATGGGATTTTCGCTGCTGCTCGGAAACTCCATCGTGGTCGACCTCCTAGGTATAAAAACATTTCACCAAAAAAACAATAACAATCTGATGTAACCAGTCATTGTTTTATTAATCTAGGATGAGCTCAGACGTATGGCTGCTATAAAGTAGAGCTGCACAGTAGACTAGGGAAAGAAATAGAAAACGTGCAACATAAACTACTTGCAGGATATCAAAATACTTTCAAACTCCAATTTAAAGTTATAAATTGTATCAGAAAACAAAAGAAATTCAAAACCTGCAACCTGCTTTTTTATTGCTGATACAGTTTGTCACTGTAGTTTTTAGCAAACAAACAGGAAATGGCGGATCTATGTGCAGTTAACTCAAAATAAGCTTCAGTGCGTGTTCATGGTAATGTAGCATGTCACTCGGTGAAACAATGTGGCTCATTGCTGTGTTGTTAATAGTTTTTGGCCAACAATAGAGCTCTCAGGTTTTGGATATGTCAGTAGGATACATTCAGAGTTGGTCTGGGTCTGCACGTAGGATTTGAACATTATAGTGATATATATGCTGTTATTTGAAACAGACTAATGCACTGAAGCAATCTAACAGTCATTAAGCTGTCAGATGTAAGGTGAGTTCCTTCCTTTTTCAGGTATCAGTGTCGGTCACATGTACTACTTCCTAGAAGATGTGTTTCCACACCAGCCGGGAGGAAGGAAGCTGCTGATGACACCAGAACTTCTGTGAGTGGAAATGTCTACCTTCGCAGTAACGTCAAACAAAAAACATAAATTAGACAAATAAAGAAACTTAAATCACATGACTTGGTTTCACAAAGGAGTTTTGTGGGCTCTGCTTACGCACACATTGCAAATGGTGGCAGTGTAACGGTTTTTTTTTTGCTTGCATATTACAGATTACCGGCCCTACACGGCTCTTCTATGCTCATGCGTGGGTTCCATTGTTTTGATTGATGAAATGTGTCAAAAATGTCATGTTGCAAATAATGCTAGCAAAATAGCTTATTGGCTTGTCTTGTCTTATTCACATGATATTGAAAATGCAAAGAGATTTTTTTGTCAATATCATGTGGCGTTGTTCTGTCCTTACAGGAGGGCCATGTTTGACCGCCCGGTGGACCCAAACTACCGTCCCCTCCACGAAGAGCATCTGCAGCAGGACAACTAACAGCACCAAGACCCACAAAATCAGAGAAACCAGCAGACAGAAAGACAGACAGAAGATGTGAATTTGTGGAGTTCTGAGTCCTTGCAGCGGTCAGTTTCGATGTACAAGGACTGAAGTTTTTTAACCAAAAATGCCAAAGCATTTTGGAATTGAATGGCTTCTACACAATAGCCTTTAAGGTTCACTTAGAGCTTTATTAGAGCTTTCAGCTGTATCTCAGTGTTTATCAGGGGCCATCATGGGGAAGGGAATTTATAAAAGTTGCAAAAACTTAAGCCAAGAAGACAGAAACACTGACTCACTTGACCTCCGGTTGCAAAGCTATTCACAACAACAAATACAAACATCCTAAGAAAGCACAAGTGACATTTCCAGTTTTACTTTGAAACTTAAATCATCTTAACTCTGATTTCTGACCACGGCTTAACTTTTCTAGTGTTAACATGACCAGATATGTTGCTTCTGGTAACTGAGGGGAGCAGGACTAACCCATAACTCCCTTCCCTGCTGTTGCGTCACTGCTGCTGCTGCTGCTGCACAGAACTGCCGACGGCCTGAAATCCCATCAGCCCCGTCTGCACACTCTGCACTTTCACCCGCTGCCTTTGTGGGTCAAACACTGTGGACAAAATGGAAATTGCTTAGCACAACAACACGCAAACAAGTCTCTGCGGGACCCCAACAACAAAACACATACTTCATCATCCTTTACAGCACAGCACTGCTGATAAATATTAGTCATAACTCAGACTGATGTGGTCACCGTCAAAAAACCAATTCTGTGTTTAATTTTTTTTTTTTTTTATCAGTGTGGAAAAGGACCATTTACAGTAAGAGTATTATGGGATAGAAAACTCAGTGTGGGGATATTTTTTAGGGGCTTTTACATGCAGCAAAGGGCCACAGGTTGGCATCAAACCCATGACTGCCGCAGCAAGGTCTTAGCCTCAGTACATGGGCGCCAGCTCTACCGGGTGAGCTATCAGGACGCCCCAGGGTGAGGATATTCTAAGATACAAATTGGCCTTTAAAAGAAGAACTCACAAAAACCTAAAACTAGGGCAGCAAGACTTAAAGCAATTATCTAACTGCAATTTTGCTCAACAATATTGCAAATATTGAAAAAAGTAAAAGTAAACTACAGCTTTATTAATCGATCTAATAATGCAGGTGCTTGTTTTACCATGTTCACCATCCTAGTTTAGCCTGTTAGCATGCTAACATTTCCATATGAGTACAGAACTCAAAGTTCAGCTGAGGCTGATAGGAATGTGATTAGTTTTGCACTAAAATCTTGAAGAGAATGCAAAGGGAAAATGATCACCAAACCAAAATTCATCACAATCTATCCAATAGCTGTGGAGACATTTAACCACTGATGTCGACCCCATGGTAGCACTATAGGAAAAACTCTGAGGTAGAAAATGTCATGGCAATCCATTCAAGAGATGTTGATATTTCAATCTGGACTGACTACAAACACTTTACCACTGTAATGATGCTTTATGAACAGCAAAAACACAGTCCACTGCTTAATCTTTCAAACATCTTCAAAAACTATCTTTGGCCGAGTGTAAATGTACAGACACATGCCTAAGAGAGCATATTAACCAGCCAAGATTTAATCAGGTCAGAGAAATGTTATTTAGCTACAGCTGAAGGAATCTGCCACCTTTAACCTTCACTTGCTACAGATAAACACAGTTAATATTTGGATTGTTCAGTCAGCCCTAAAACTGGACACTTGTATAAAATAATAATCAGGCAATTGGTCAAAACAATCAAGCTCTAACTGCGGCAGAAAGACTTGACGAGCATGACGATTGTAAATGGTGCACAATATAACAAGACGGGAACTCAAGCGCTTTCACTTTTTTTTATTTTGTAAGAATTATTAAAATGTACAAAAAGACAACAAATACAACATAACAATATATTATCTGAGACTGGTTGTGTGGTTTCTTCTCCCTCTGTGGTCAGGTAAAGAGAGTCAGTGGTCAAAGAGAGAGAACAGCTTCTCCACGCTGGGTGTCGTAAGGGAAACATGAAGGAGGGACATTTTCTACCAGGGGCTTTGCCAAACAGAACATAATAACATTAATAATAAAAATGAAAAATAACACGGTGATCGGCTGACGGAGAACCCAGTGGAGCGTAAAAGACATCCGGTGCTCGATGGAGGGACATCTTTGTTGCTGATTTTGCAAACCGTGACAGCGTCATACCTCAAGCAGACGAGCATCGTTCCTGTGGGGGGCGCCGATGCTGCTTTATCTACCATGCAGGTGCTGTATTCGCCAGTCGCCTCATTCGCCTGTGGAGCAAACAGGAAGATAGGGTCAACACCTTAAAACAACAACAACAGCTACTCCAATTTGCTCTTGTTTTACAAACCTTACTATTTTAATTAAAACGACAACTAATAATTGTTTTCATTGTTGATTGATCTATATTGATTAAGTGTTTCATTTATAATTGCAATTGCTGAAATATTTAAAAAGCAATATAATGTATGTAAAGCTTAGGGTTGCAACAAATGCTTACTTTCTTCATCAGTTCATCTGTTGCCCATTTTTTTCAATTAATCATTTAGTCTACAAGATGTCTTGTCAATCAATTTACAAACGTATTGTTTCGGTACCATTTAAAATAGCTTGTTTTTTCTGCCCAGCAGTCAAAAATAGGTAGTTCACAATTTGAGTTTGTCATTGTGGCTTGATAAACGACTCAAACGGGTAATCGATTATTAAAGTTGTGTTTACAGTTTTTGTTGATCACAAGTCGAATAACTGGTCCGTAATTTCCCCATGTCCTTAAGCACTAACTATTAGCAGAATAGTGACTATAGCTGCAATGATTACTTAAAAATCTATCAACAAACATTTATCAGCAAATATTTGACAACTGATTCATCAAATATGTACAATTTCTGGTTTGCTGGTTTCTTTATTCTTCTGTGACAATAATATCTCTGATCCTTTGAAAGAAAACAAGACATTTGAAGAAGCAATCTGCTCTGTCATCAGCAGGGGATTTTTGATGGGTATTTTTTTTTTTTTTTTTTTTTACCATACCCCATTTTATAGACAAATGACAATTAATGACTAATGATTATTAGTTGCAGCCCTAATACTGACAGTACTCAAATGGTACACCTCCCAACTAACTGCTAGCGTAACCAAGAGTCCTTTACTCAGTGCAACGTATATATGTAGGAATAAAGTTTCCATGATAACTCAATATTTTATTGTGTTTAACTGGAGCTATTCTTTCAAATAGATTTTCCCCTTAGTACACAACTACATCGTTCGTTCCAGAAAACCACCTAGAGAGTTAGGAAAGTACAGACCTGAAGTGTAACAGACAACTGTTCAGCACTGATTATGGGAGATGATTTTGATTTTGCAGCTGGGCAATGCGACAGAAGGTAAATGTATCTGTACACATTCCAACAACAAGGCAGTTCAAAGCTGCTTTACATAAAACAAAGAATAATATTGTCAACTACGTTGAGCATTGACTATAATTTTTAACTAAACATTTCAACTTCTCAAATGAGAGGATTTGTTTGTTTTTGTGAAAACTATTATTGGGTTTTGGAGTGTCAGTCGGACAAAAAAAGACGATTGACGACGAAGATGTTATCTCGGAAATCTTTCACTATTTTGTTATTATGCAGACCAAATGATTCACTGATTAATCGAGAAAAATTATTAAATCTATAAAGTAAATCTATAATAAAAATAATAGTTTAGTACCTGCTAGACTCAGTTGTCTGGCTGTACCATATATTTATTGCATTTTATTAATCTTTATTTAAAGAGATAAAAAGTCACAATGTGATACGAATCTTATTTTGAAGACAGACCTGGACATAAAAACAGATGAAACAAACTGCTGACTACCAAAAGCAGTTGACTCTATCAAACAAACTCTCACCTTGTGTTTCTGTCCTGATCTCTGATCTTCTTCTCCATCTCTGCGTCTGTCAGGGTCTCCAGCAGTGGGCACCACTGGTCGGCATCACCTGTGTTTCTAATGGCTATCTCCACTGTGGGCAGGGGGTTCTCACTGCAAAACACCAAAAACAAGAACAAAAACGCTGCAGTTTGAGTCACTTGTTGCCGCTTTTCATGTGACTCAGATCGAATGTTTTCTAATTAATGTGAAACATGGAGTCACTTTTTCCACTAAAAGCATGAAAATTGTACTTCTGGCTTCGAAGCCTACACCCATCGAAGCTGCAAAGATATTATGACATGTAACTAAAACATTTATCGTGTTTTTGATGGCCTGGATAAGCAGCATGATCAAAGGCAGGATCATGAAAGAAAACTAAATTCCTGGCCTTGAAGTTATTTTAGGAAACATCTCGACTCAGTGGAAACATAAATGAAACGTGAAAACAAACGTGACAAGCGAAGGTAAAATAACAGATCTGAACTTATGTTTTTGTAACTTTATGCATGTTAGAGGACATACTGGCATTGGATTCAGGATATACCCTCAATGAATATATGAACATTCAAAGACATTAGCTATGACACTGCCCTGATGCCCTGTTCAACTTTACTTCATTCACGGTCATGAAATAAACAGTCCTAAAATATTACTTCTCTGCCAGATGTCCAGCTGTGATAGAGATCAGCGCTGCTGTCTGGGTTTTGAAATATGTCATTAGTTCACATCCTGGTAAACTCAGACAGCAGACTGTCGGTTGTATTTCACCCATAGAAGAACCACCAGGGCAGCAAACGCCAAACAAGACGTTAATTTAACCTTGTTCAACTACAGTTTGGAGGTTACATAAAAACAGGGTCAGAACAAGGGAGATCTGCTGGTTTACAATGAGAAACTACAATTCAACAACAGGCTTCAGGTGCCCTCAGAAAAGAGGGGAAAGGTCATTGCCACATCACTGTGGCAACAACATATACAACAACAGAGATTCCTTTTCACACAGTTTGTTTTTGCAACTCTCTAAAAATGTCAAAACCAGGAAATGGTCAAATTCCCTTTTCAGACTGCTACAGATGTTTGGCTCACTTCTCTGGTTGTGCAGAGATATCAGACAATGAAACACATTTTCTAAAAGTCATCAATAATGTATCAAAATGTGATAAAACGTCCCCTTTAACATCATTTTTTAGGTTAGTAAATTACATGAACAGTCACTTTATTATACTATCAAATAATTGCCTGTCTATGTGTTCATTGCAACTGTTGTTAATTTCTTCTTTAAAGTAAGTAATACCGTCTTTTGGCTTGAATGCATGTTTCAATATATGCACAATATATGGCTAAAGGCAGTGTTCAAGCTATATATAGCTGCTCTTTTAATGACGTAATCTTATAGTGTCCACTTCTTCTGTAACGATTTAACTGACTGGAGAATCAGCACCATCGACTATATCTCAACAAACCAACCCACAGTGGATAGGAACGTACATTAATTCACATCTTCTTTCTCTAGAAATTTGGTCAAAATTACTTTGAATCCCACATTTAGCTCTGTGTTGGTGAGACAGTACCTGAAGGCGTACGTCCTCTGGTGCCAGCTCAGCTGACCGCGGATGCTGTAGGCGATGGTGGTGACAAACTCCCCGCCAAGACCGAGCTCAGAGCAAAGCTTCAGAGCAAACTTCTCTGGGGAGTTCTCCCTCTCAGACATATCCCACTCAAACTGGTCCACCAGAGAGATGTTCCCAACATGGATGTTCAACTGGAACACAAATAAAGAGAAAAAAGGTTTGTTGATAAATGACGTGTCTTCACTACAAGTTTTCCTCTGGAGGATTTGTTGCATTAAATCATTACATTAAATGATACTCAGCATGAACTATTGGCAGTTTAGAGCTTTACCTTGATTATGACCCTCTGGTCCGCCTGGTCCTCCAGGATGCTGTCTGTCGGATAAGACTCGATCTGCTGTCGGATGGCAGATGCGATGGCAGGGACGAAGGCTAGCGGGTTGAGGTCCAGGTCGTCGCAAAGGATCTCAGCGAACATCTCAGGTGTCATCAGTTTTTCTAAAAAAATTCAGAAGAAGGAAAAACATTTCAGTACCAATATTGGCTCCTTCAAATTCTCTCTTCAGCACCATGAAGTCTCTGCTTTGACACCATACTTTACAGAGCTGAGAAAAAGTCATGATGAGACATTACCGTTCATATTCCAGGTGAAAGCGTCTCTGAGCTTCTGTCCCTCAATCTCCATGTCCAGACGGATTGGAACCAGGACTTCAGACTGAGTGGCGTTCTCATGGATCACTGCTGGATCGTGGTCATCGAAGCTGGTCGAGACAAACACACAGGGCCAAAAGTTACTGACAGCAGCTGAAATTATACACTACACTCACAATGCAAGTCAGCACCATTATCAGCTATACTTCATTACATTAATTGTTTCAAAGAGTAAAGAGTTTATGTCAACCATTAAAGATTTCAGTTTATAAAAGGACACAATGATAGCAGAGTAAGAGACAGAATAAATGGACTCTCTCATGTCCCAACAGTCACTACTTGCTACTTTGCTATATTTACTTCACGCCACTTCATCTAGGTGTCTGAATTCTAAGTATGAAATATATGCTCTATGTATTTCCCTCACAAACTCCCATAATCCATCCATAACAAAAAAGTACCTTTTGCTAAAAGTCTCACAATGCAACGCTTCCTATTACGCTGCACGATTAACACAAGTGTCCCAAACCTCAATTTACCACTTACTGTAAACTCTTGGGCGTTTGTAATATAGGGATGGAATGAGGAATAGATCTGAATGACAAACATAGCCTGTGTGCAGGTTCTTGTTGCTCACCACAGTGGGAAGGTCCTCTTCTTGTCGCGGCCCAGTCGGCTGCGATTGATGGTGGTGGAGCAGGGCACCGCGTCCAGATGGTGAGAGCTATTGGGCAGCGTGGGAACCCACTGACTGTTCCTCTTCGCCTTCTGTTCCCTGGTGACAGACCAGGACAGATAAATAGGTGAAAATCATACAAGATAAAATGGGTTTTTTATTCCAACTCAAATTAACTTAATGAATTTTTACATTTCAGTGTTCAAAATCTACAGGTTACATCCTACTCAGACTGGATAGGTTTAGAAGGGTAATGTAATCGTCACTGGGTTGTTGTTTTTTTTGCAGATTACACACTACCTGCATGCGCCCAATTGTATTCTTCTACTGTTGACAATCTCAGGTTTTAGAAGTCAAGTATTAATCAACAACCAGAGTAATATCATGCTCAAAAGGAGCCTTTCAGATCTTTTTTCTCAGCTTTTTTATTCAACTGCTGCAGACAAAGCTTCCTAAAGCCTATAAACGTCAGATCAATAACTGAGACATTTTTTAAAAGATCTGCTCTTTTTCAGAAGCTACGTGTGAGCTGAGGAACCTTCCTGATGCAATGCCAATGTGTAAATAGAACAACATCCCCATATCTGTAATTTTGAAAACTCATTACAGAGTTACATTTCCTTACCTATAAATATCTGTCATTAACATTAAAAACACATTACAGACAGTCCTGTCTGAATAATGTTTTCAGAGGTGGTTATAGTGGAGGTACCTGAGGTAGGCGGGGGGCTCAGTGCTGATGGAGACAGCTTTGTACTTCTCATCATTTCCTTCAAGGATCTCCTCAACCTCCGAAGCCTTCAGCAGGGTCACACTGGTGGCCAGCTGAGTGTAGCCATGATCTGAATGACAAAAAAAAAAAAATCAAATCAACACGAACAGGAACTGACACTGTGAATGCTGAACTGAGTTGGCCATTTAAATGATCATCGCTGTGTCAAATTGTGTATCCTCACCACACCCCTTTTGCCCAATAACAAAATGACAAATAAATGTATTTTAACCATCAATGAAATAATGAGCATGGGGTTTTCATTCTTACATTACTTTTTAGAGCGTATTACTTTTTTTCCCTCCATCTTCTTAAACAGAAACGTATCAGCAGTTTTGGATACTGAGAAACAAATTAACCTGCAATTGTTCTAGGGTAAATATTTTTAGAACATTAACTAATTTCAGTATTAATAAACTGAAAGCTGTCTGGAGTTTCTAAGTAGAACAGCCTCTCATGTTAGAGGAAAGAAATAATGATGGGAATTTAAAAATTGCACCACCCCACTCAGCTGTGTTAGACTGCACTCTACTGACCGTGTGACGACTCCACTATTTTCTTCCGTTCTTCTACTGATGCCAGTTTTCTCCATAATGATGGATATCTTTTATACAGGGAGCCTCTGAACATACGGAGGTAGTTTCCCACCTGAACACACACACACACACACACACACACACACACACACACACACACACACACACACACACACACACAGAAACAGAAAAAGAAATCAAGAATCATGAGGGCAGATTACTTTGGCTAAACAAATATTCTTGATAATAATTAATCATTACAGTATTTTTTTGTATGTATGATAGTAAACAGAGTATGTTTGGAGTTTGGATTATTGGTCAAATAAAATTACCAATTTAAGTTTGTGCGACAGGAAATTGATGGGCATTTCATACACAAAGAAATGATCAATCACAAAAATAATTAGCAGATTAATCAACAATACTAATAATCAGTTATTGCTGCCCTACAACATTGGCCCACATTTATTAATTGTCAAAATAAATATTGTTAAACAAACATAAGTACATGACATTTCCTTCATTGTGCTGTCTTACTAAATGTAATATAATTGGATTATTTAACTCTAGTATAATCAATCACTTTAGTTCTTGTTGACAGGACACCAGGTTAAATGGCACTAGTTGCTGAAGTTAGTTTTTAATTACAATTGGAGTGACTGTAGGTCGGCAAGAGTCGCTGTGGAGGCTTATTATCCAGCCTCTGCACACAGCATGGGAGTTCAATATACAGTATGAGAAACATATTTAACGCCGTTACTAAAGTGGTATAGCTGTGAGTTTATGTACCTATACACAGGTTCTGCTATCCTATGACCCTAAACATACTATGGGGTATATTCAGAGTCTGGCATACACCGGTTTATTAAACGTTACAGTCACCTTGTAACCTTACAGTCACCATGGTAACCTTACAGTCACCATGTAACGTTACAGTCACCATGTAACCTTACAGTCACCATGGTAACCTTACAGTCACCATGTAACGTTACAGTCACCATGCAGTACCATGGTAACCTTACAGTCACCATGTAACCTTACAGTCACCATGTAACCTTACAGTCACCATGGTAACGTTACAGTCACCATGTAACGTTACAGTCACCATGTAACCTTACAGTCACCATGGTAACCTTACAGTCACCATGTAACGTTACAGTCACCATGGTAACGTTACAGTCAACATGTAACCTTACAGTCACCATGGTAACCTTACAGTCACCATGTAACGTTACAGTCACCATGGTAACCTTACAGTCAACATGTAACCTTACAGTCACCATGGTAACCTTACAGTCACCATGTAACGTTACAGTCACCATGTAACCTTACAGTCACCATGTAACCTTACAGTCACCATGGTAACCTTACAGTCAACATGTAACGTTACAGCTAACATGTAAAGTTACAGTCACCCTGGTAACGTTACAGTCATATTTACGTAGCAATATGCTAAGAAATGCCAGAAAAGCAAACCTTTTTAAATAATGTATTTCAGCGGCTATGAGTCTTACAGTGTTAATGTGCCGTTTGCTGGTTTCACCAACTTAACACCAAATAAACTCACTTATTGTTATTTAACGTCAGCGGCGGATAAACACTGTTAGCTTTGTTAACGTTAATGGTTGGACGTTAGCTAACAGTTAGCTCAGTCTGGAAACGACGAACGTTTCCCGGTCAAACTTAATTCCGTTACATGCAAGTGTAAATTAATGTGTTTTATCTACGAGGGAGTTCCCAGTTTACATTAATAATAAACCTAAAATAAATGAATGAGTCTTCGTGCGCTGTCCCACTCGGCTAGCATGGTTAGCTAGCCAGCTAGCTGCTAGCGGAACGGCTGCCAGGTTAAACGATAATAATCTGCCAAATAAGTAAATCTTTAAAGTGATGGTGTGTTAAAGAGGTGAAACACTAACCTCCGATCCGATCATATAAAAGTCTCCATCCTCCTCGAGCTGAAATTTGACCGGTTTTTGTCCAAACGTCTTGCTAAGCGCCATTCTCAAATGAAATAACAAAGCTCTTTCCGACTGCGCAGGCGCCGGTGACAAGCACGTCCTGTCGCTGATAGATGACGTTACACTAAGCTATGAATTCATCGTTCGCTGTCACATCTATGACAACGTCACATTAATCAATAATAAATAATAAACCAACCAATCTGCCAATCAATATATCAAATCCTCTAAACAGAGCTCTAATAGCTCATGGCTCCATTCAGCTGGAAACAAACAAACTAACAGAAGTTATACAAGCTTCTTGTAAAAGAATTATGTTTAAGTTTCACAATGTTTCTTTTTAACTTAATATGAGCTGAATGTGTCATTAGTTCTATAATATAGAATCTTTCTTGCACTTCCATTCATTTAATTTTTCCTTGTATTTCTAAGTATTTTGGAGGCATTTTATGATTTATTTAATAGTAGAGGAGAGTGCGAGAAGGATAAGATGCAACAAAGGTGCCCGCTGCCAGGGAACTTTCCTTTTATTTTATTTTACCATGTGTGAGGATTTTATTTTACAATCCCTGTACAATCCATTTTTACAAGCATAACATCCATAATAATTACAAAAGATGATTTTTTATTTGAGCTCAAGTCAAACAGTTATTTTCAGCCTAAAATTGAAATCCAGTAATAAGCTATTGTGCAATTTACTTCAGTTATTGTGTCATACAGAGACTATGCAGAAGTAGATTCCCAACTCAGTTCCTTAATCTTTACACAAAGGAAGCAATAATAAAGAGGAAAGAGTCTTATTACTTTTATAAACTTAATGTTTATTCATATATACATGAATATATTAATCTATAACCAAGAAAGGAGAGAATGTACAATGCAAAACAAAATTTCTATATACAAATCAATAAATAAACAAAGACATAACCAAGGACAGTTTTATATTCTACATGTGTTTTGTGTTCTTGGGAAAAGTAGGAAAAGTAAAATAAAGAAGAGACTGCAGTTAGAAAAAGTTAAAATGGAAAATGGCACCCGAGCACAGTTCAGGGGGAAAAAAACGAAACAAAAACTAAAATAAAAACACACACCACGCCAGCTGGTTTCCAGTTTTTAGGTTTTTTTTCTTTTTAAACGCAGCCTTTTTGTTCAAACTCGCACAGAATCAGGTCAAATCACAAAAGGTACGTCATTGTCAACACGGCTACGACGACACACAGACCAGTCCAACACCAACCTCATCGGCACATAAAACGCTCGCCGGGCCAGGAAATTCATTTAAAGTTCCACTCTGCACAGTTTATGTTCTCAGAGAACAAAAGCACACTTAAAGTAGAGACGGAGCTGCTGCAGAAACGCTCCCTTTGCTGTGTTCAACTGGGAAAACTAGGACTCACTGGAACAGGGGACAGACATTGTTTTTCCAATTACAGGCCCGATAATATGAACGTTTTTGTTCCAACCAAACACTACAGAAAGGGAACGTACTTTGCGTTCAAAGTATGTTTGACCAGCTATTTTCGGAAAATACTGAGCCAGTTTTAAAAAAAATGATCTATTTGTTTTTAAAAGATTTACAGTACGTCTGCAGTAGGAGACGTATTGACGTACGTTCATGGATTTGTGACATCAAGTAGGAGGTACCAAAACACCTTTTTACAAACATTGCGGTGCACTGAAGGTCCTGTTGCAAACTGTAGGTAGTTGCTCTGAAAGAATGGAGGAACTCTAACATACCACTGAAAGCAAATGTCTCGATACTTTTAACAGAAGAAAAAAAGGCCCTGCACTGCATTGATATTTGTGTGTAACACTGCTCTGCTGGGTTTTCAAGTGGTTTTCATCCCTGAAATCAAAATTAAGCAAACATATCTTACACACAGACACACGTGCAGTATCCAAAACTTACGAAACCATTGACCACTTCTACTCACTTGATTAATGACACTTTTGTCCCAAAACACAGTTAATAAAGTGAGTGAGAGTCTCTGTTTTCTTCATATAACTCAACCAGAAGTTGTCTGCTTCATTTTCTTCAGTGAAAGCACATCAGATATAGAGTTTGGTTGGAATAAAAATCTGATTTATGGTTAAAAAAAAAAACGTCTGGTTTTGATGGCAAAAGACACTCCAGTGTTGAACATTTGCAAATTTGGCAGCTGTTTGATCTTAAAAGACATTAAAAGATGAAAAATAGGAGGATAAATTCATGAAAGCGGGATTTCTACAACAGCTTCATCTGCAGCTCCTGACAAACATCTTTGCTTCAAGTTTCTTGGACGACAGTCTAATTTTCCACAGGGAAATGGGTCCAGACATCGTAGTGTTCTCACCCTTTTTTTTTGTTTTCCAGAAAAATGCAACAACAGTAAACATACAAACTTGATTTTTTTTCACTGTGAAAGGCAGAGGACTCATCTGTTACAACCAACCTTTTTCTCTTTCCTTGTATTTTTGGCACATGTAGGGTCAAGCCTGTTGCGTTACGGATGTTCACTATGACACCATTAACGGGGAACGAGACGCTTTTTTTATTTATTTTTTTTAAAGTTCACAGTGCTCAACATGACGCGCCGATCAACAGGCAGAGAGGGCAGAGTGAAAGGGTCAAAGGTCACAGTGTTCAACAGCGAAGGATTTCACGCCACAGTGGCACGAACAACATCCACGACAGCCAGACGACGTGCCTCCTGCCGCTCGTCACCATATTGCTTTCGTGGGGTTTTTTCTTTTTTTTTTTTTGAGCGCTTCATTCATTTGATCGTTTAGAGAATTATGAACGTCATGCAGGTGAAAATAACCAAAAAAAGGCAATACATGGTCGCAGTGCAATCCGAGCGAATTTAGTGTTTTGTTACGGTGATATGAGCAACTCAGGAAAAATCCAACCTTAAATATCATAAAGTGTTTTTCTTTCCTTTAATCGGCAATTTACTACATTTCCCAGAAGGCTATGAAACAGGACTCGGAGAAGGGGTGTGAATGTTTTGCTGTTGATCAAACGGACACCCAAACATCAACTGTCATAGCAACCCTAGCTCGGCATGGTAATTCAAGCTTTGGATTTCTTCCCCGTGTTTAAGTGGTCAGCAGTGACAGTGATACTCTTCACTGAAAGAGTCTGTGGTGCCCTTTTTTTTTTTTTTTTGCCTTTCTAAAACCAAAAACACAAAAGTAACAGTGTAGGAAGCTGCAAACGTTAGGATGTCCGCCTGGCGAGCTTAAAAGCTACAGTGGTAGCCGAGTGTTACTTTCAGGGCCAAGGAGCACATCATTAAGAAACATTAGTTTTTGTGGGTTAGGTCAAATAAAGGTCCTGTTCTCTGTGTGTGGAAATCGATCCTGGATGCTATCAGAGTTTAGGCTTATGTTAGCAGCTCTGTCCTGCTTCTTAATGGAGCTGGAAACGTTTATACCAGCAACCCCAGCCAATGTTACCCGAGTTAGTGTGACGGTTTGTCCGACATATTGTGTCTCTTTAGAGCAAAAAGACAAAAAAAATAAAAATACATTATAGTAAACTGTAAATGTAAATTAGCATTGAGTGCAAACGGCGAGAAGCTGCAAAAAGAAGCCCTTTACAAATATTTTAACAATGTGACATCACTTTGTATCCATGGGAATAAAAGAAATATGGATCCCCCAAAAATGACCGCTTTTTTAAAAGTGATAAGGAGTTTTAGGTTGGATTTTTCCTCTAAAGAAACTGATTATGGACAGCACAGAGAAGTTCCCTCATGTGCAGTTTATAAGGATCACCATAGTTCATCTGGGCTCCTACGCACAGCCTCATTCAAAACTATTCCAGACTCCACATTTTACAGCATGATTTAAGGAGCTTTTCTGTATTTTGACTAGTTTTCCAGGTCTGGAAATAATTAAAACCCATCCATTCTACACGTTCTGTAAGAGAGCCCAGCAAGGAAAGACTCTGCTGTCATCACCGGCACGTAAAACCACAGCCGACACCGCAAGAAAACGTCCTGCAGGATAAATTCAGCAGGACTCGTCGGGTGCGTCTGCAACACACAAGCCTGTCATGGCACATTTGGAAAGTGGTTAATAATAAGATATGAAGGATGATCCACCATGTTGGAAGAAACCACAGTCTTCCCATGAAATAGTATGGTCCAGGGTTAAAGCAAAATATCAGTTTGCTGTTAACGGAAATTTGGAAAATAGTTCTTTTGCCAGAAAGAAACCTGGGAATCTGATGCAATATCTGGTTTCTATTGATTATTTTATGTAGTTTATATTATTTATTCTTTCATAAATACCTTTTGTATCCCAGAGTTTTTTCTCCTGCAGTATTTTGGGAACACAAGATGGTACATCTCATCCCAAAGGATATTATCCTAATATAAAATAATACATTTGAATACATAACATTAAATTGGTGCAGTAAGCCAGCCTTCACTAAAGAGCTGCTGACATTAAAATTATTTCCTTCCTTTTTTTTAATCATTCTTAACTTTTTGTTTTTATGTTTATATTAAATACAATTTTCTGAAAACAGCAAACATGACATAAAAATGCCTCACTCAGCAGGTAAGAAGAGATGTTTCTGTTTCTGTCTTCCAACAAGGGGAGTGGTGGTCAGGAAGTAGAGAAAGTGCAGCTCGTAAGACCTCTTCAGAAGGATAATTAGCAGCACCATATCAGAGTAGAGAGATGCAAAAAAAAATGTACAAAGCAAAATGAAAAAAGCGCTGATATCGTGATGAGTCTATTAACAAAATCTCATGGTCCGTTTCAAAAGAATATACTGCACTGTTGGTATTAATTGATATATACACTCAGTTTTTTTTTTTTTGTTTTCAGCTCTCTTGTTCTTCTCTCAGTCTTCTTCTGTCAGAATCAAGTGCGATGAAAGGACTGCCACATCCTTCACAATGTAGTGGTTACAATTCATTAATTTAAAAAAGAAAAAAGAATTAATGGCTGTGCCCACTGGATTTTGACAACATGTCTCCGTTTCAGACTGCTTGACCTTTTTGCTTTTTTTTGTAACATGGCAGCATTCAGAAGCTTAAAAGAGTTCAGGTCCCTTCACGTCAGCGTTGCTGGTGTTAAAATGCTGAAATGAGTCCCAGCGTCCGAGAGCGGAGAGCGAAACGTTCAGTGCTGCAGTCCCAGAAACACTGACGACATCAGGAACCCCGGGGCGAGACGGTAAAGGCGGCGGTACACTCACAACAAAAGTTCCCTGAAAAAATAGAAACACATTCGAACACCCAGCTGTTACACACGTCTGTGTTCACTCGCTGTGGCGTCGTATTGTTCGTTTATGTACACTCCATGCCAGGAGGGGGCGTGCATGAAGTCCGAAGAGTAAAATACAGGGATGAAGGCTGCGGGGGGAAATCTGGGGTTTTAAAAAATGTTTTATCGAAGGTGCGAATATCCTCTCGTGAACTAGAGGCTTGAACAAAAATGTTTAAGAGCTGACCGAGTGATGTTAAGATGTAAACAATTGTAAACAAAAAGTAATGGACCGGGAAATGAGATGGATCTGATTTCCCACAAGCCGACACAACCAGTCATGTGAAGTAAATTTTGCCGCCTGACCCCAACGCAACTGTTTGTTTTTCCCCACGAACGGGTCCTTCTGTTGTCAGGCTTACGGAAACAACCTCTATCTTAGGATTTCCTGCGACAAACTCAGCCTTTTAACGTCCTCGGAGGGTCCTGATGACACAGCTTTTACTAAGTGCTAAGGTGCTCCTCTGCTTTCTGCTAATCCACAGAAAGGTTACTTGGTCATTTATATCATCTCCTCTGGCATCTCAGTCTTTGTCCAAACCAAAACTCAGATACTTCAGGTTAGTTTGCCTCAAAGAGAGACCTGAACAGAAATGTTTCTTCTGAGGAGTGGCGACCAGAGAGGGTTAAGGGGGTGGAGGGGAGGCAGGAAGTGGCACGTTTCTCCTTAGAAAATCCCTTTAGCGATTTTCAGTCCCTTCTGTTTCATGCGAGGCAGCGTCGAACTGGCCACGTTCTTGGCCCGCACCGGCCGGGCCAAGCCGCGCTTCTTCAGGACAAAGTCGTAGTTGGCAGTGGAGTTCATGGCATAGAAAACGTTGGCGTTGTCCGGGATCCGTAGCTCTACAGAACCAGATAAGAGACAAAAGAAACAACATGTAGTCAGTCAAAACAAATCTGGTACAAATGTTTTGTGTTGGGGAGAAATGAAAATGAATCAGAAATTATGAACATAAGGATTTATTCTTCCTCAAACAAATACTGGATATCTGTTCCGCATCAATGTGGGGATCTGTTGGGAGACAATCCCAAAAGGGTATTTTGTTTAATCTTCAGAACAAGGTAATAAAAAGATTACAAGATATTGATTTGTCCACCAAAAAACTGAAAACATTTTTACAAAATAACAGAAAAGCACTTTTCTTTTCTTTGTCGAGGAAGGAGCAGTTACACTGCAATCTTAATTTATTTTCATTTTTGGTGGTGGTTGGTCCAATAGAAATTCTTAATGAGGTTGAAAATATCTGGTATCAGACTGAGATTCATCCCTCCCAACACACCCTAGAAAACCTGATAAACTGTCATGTTCTTTGTAAAACAATTTTTTAGTACAATGAAAAAACACATAGTATATAATTACAGATAAGATTCAGCCACCGTTGAGACAAACAGTCAGAGCGTGTGTGTTTTTAGTTTTTACCTTTGTCCTCAGAGATTTTCTGCATCAGCTCGTAGTCCTCCGTCTTCTCCCGCTCCAAGTTGTGTTTGATCATGGCCTTCCTGATGACGGCTGGAGTCTTGTCTTGACTCGTCACCTGAATCAAGGGACAAATAATAATTTCTCATATATTCCTTTGCTGCTGTTTTATATTGTTTATAAGTGGTAAAAACTCAACTACGGAGAGAGAGGCATGTCATTTTAAGTCGCAGCAGACCACAAATACAAGCTTGAAGCTTTTGAAACTAGGACTTTAGCAAATGAGAAGCTGTTTGTTTGTTACATTGTATTTTGGGTGTTTTCATTCTAATTATCTACTAATATAGTAGTTTTATAAATTCTTCATACAATTTTACAACCTATTGTGTGAAAACCGTGAATGTTATTATATTTGGATATGACACCTTGTTTTTACAAAGCACCTTGTTTTTACTAAGCAAGTTTAAAAAAAGGAAATGAACTCACCAGGATGCTTTTGTACAAGTTGCCGTTCTCCACGTCCAGGCTGACCCTGATGATGCAGCAGTCGTCCACCTGCTGGTTGTACAGCGGCAGCGACAGAGTAGAGTAGTTCGACACCGCTGACACCGAGCGTTTGTGTGAGCGGGAGGCAGACAGCGGGGTGGAGCAGGAGACGGAGGAGGAGGAGGCGCTGCTGGAGCCGGACGCCGAGCCAGAGCTGGAGCCTGTGCCAGAGGTGTCCAGAGACGACAGAGACGTACACTCCCAGAACTGAACAGAATTACAGGAGAGCAGAGCGGGTGGTGAGGATAAAACACTACAAGACAGGAGGCTGAAGTTTATATTAGGTGATGTGGGCATTATGGGAAGATCAGTGTTTCTCAAGCTTGACTCATAATAGGGACTAACACTCTGCTGGTTAATTTAAGTTATTTATTATTTTAAGCTTTATGGAAGTAAAAGACTGAACTACTGGGGTACTTCTTAAAAGAGATCAATCATTTAGGCTGTGAAGTGTAATAAAGCCCCAAAGTAATGTGACAAACTCAAAGACATTCAATTTACAATGTTATAAAACAGAAAGAAATCATCATATTTGAGTTTTTTTTTTATGTTTTTATCATTTTCTATCAAAATCATGTCCATTTATTTTCTGTAGGGCAACTAATTGTTTAAGTGACTGACAGACATTTCAGCAGCACTTACGTTAACATGCAAAAAAAAAAAAAAAAAGAAAGAAATGCAAAATAAAAGTCAAACTTGTTACCGTTGACGTTGTATCTGCTGTTGGAGCTTCTCTCCCCAAAGCAGAGACGGTAAGTTTCACTGAAGGAGTCGACGTCTAACAGAGAGAGAGTGAAGAAAACAGCACCCATAACCAAACAGCCACACAGGTGAACATGCAACTCTTGCATATAATTGGCTGCTAGGAGGTGACGTCACCAGCCATTTTAGCCAAAAATAGAGCAACCAAGCTTTCTGATATCTGATATGAAATACCCCTCGACTTTTTTACTATCCCATCTGTCTTCCTTACCTTTCTCTCATGGCCCTCCGGAGAATCGGACAGGAAGCTGGCGTTTACGTCCTCCAGGTCGGAACCACTGGAGCTGACAGAGGTGACGCTGAGGGCGTCGCCGCTGTCCCCCCCACCTCCTTGGTACGGTCTGTAGTGCGAGTGGTCGAAGGACTTGGAATGAGAGCCTGGGGCGCTGCTGCAGCCAGCCTCCGTCAACTGCCGGCTGGACAGAAAAGACGTACAGAGGAAGAGTTTTAAACAGTCATTATACTAAAGAAAGAACAATCCCAAGTCTCTCTCTTAACAGCACTTTCTGCTCCTCAGTTTTGATCAACATGGTCACTTACTCGCTCCAGCGTTTCATGATTCCTCCGTTCTTCTTAGCTCGGAGCGTGTTGCTGGCTGACTCTGACAGTGGCTCGATCTCACAGGACAGATTGTAGCTGCAGGGACAGGAAGTCGGGATGATGACAATGTTACATTTCAACTCATCTCAAGTAAAAGACAAGACGACCTAGTTATTCACAGCCATCCTGCCAATTCCGTTCCCAGATATTCTACACCGATTCTTCACTTTATTCTGTGATTAACTAGTGATGCAGCTTTCTCTGGAGGGGGGGGGCAAACTGAATCTGCTCTTCATTATTTGGAATTTAATGTGGGCAAATGGCAAAATCAGTCATTTTTTTCCTTTTATAGCTGCATTTTGTCATTTATCTTGATAGCAGCTGCATTTCTTTACCTAACAAACTTGCCTCTACGGTATGAATCTACCAGGCATCTTTCCGTCGGTGTTATCATCATTTAAAAAACTACCAGCTTTGTGCTCTGTTGTTTTTGTGCAGCAGCAGGCTTCTGTAAAAAGTAAAAATCTACTTCCCAAAAACTGGAAACAGCATCAGGATTATTGAAACCTACAAGGACTAGACACCCTACACATACTGGAATCACCATTTACACTAGCAAAAAAAGATGTTTTAGTTTATACAGTCAAAGAGGAGCACATATGGAATGACTGAGGGCTACATACTCAGTGGATGTGTTCTTGTATCAAAACAGAAATACATTAAAAACACTTGCTAACTTGTGCTGCAAATCAAAAAACACCAGATCTGGAAAAGATGGTCGATTCAGACACAATGAAGAGAGTGAACTTTAAATTGAGGTCAACTGTTGAAAACAACTAGCAGTGTATGGATGAGACTGCACACAATTGGGATCCTTCAACACCACACACAGTAAGATTGTATCTGGTCCTCATTTGATTTGGTGCTCGCCTGAGGGGACACACATTGTTGAGACAGACGGACTAACCTCTCTGCCTCGCTGAGTTTCTCCACGCCTGCAAACCACTCTCTGAAGTGGCTGTCCTGAGTGAAACTGTAGTTGTTGGAGGCCAACTGGAGCAGTTTGATCTGAGCAATCACCTCAAACTCCTGGAAGCAGAGAGCAGAGCAAAAGAAAAGGATTTTATTGTCAGATTTTGAGTTGCCTGATTTGTTTTTATCTGTTTTGATCACACATGTAGAGATGTTTTTAAATTGTTTTTCTTTTAAGTTAATTCAGGAAATTACAACCAAATAAGAACATTTCATTCACCTTTCTTCTCTTTTCGAAGTTGATCAGACCACCCTGAAAAAGGAGATAAAGAAAACATTAGAAAGTTATGATAAAAAAATAAAGATAAGGTAAAAAATAAAATGTATGACAGTGAAAACTCAGGTTTCTGACCTCAGTGTAATCCTTCATGGCAGTGTCCATCATCACCAGGTCCGTCAGAAAGGTCCCCAGGTAGGGAATTGTCCCCTGCATCACTCCCTGTTCACAGAGGGACAGAGGGAACATCAGTGGAGGTAAACATGGAGGCAGAGCGAGAAAACAACGCTTCAGAGACATTTTTAATATAGTGGTACTAAGAAACAGAGACATTGTCTTCTGGGTAGGATCACTGAAGAGAGAGTGGTTAAGAAAAGCATCAGACAGTCATGTTTCGCCTCTTTCTACTTGGGGACTGGGAGGACTGCAGCGCCCTCACTTGCCACTAGATGGTGCTGTTGGCACACAATTGATGCCGCTCATTGCTCAGTGTTGCACGCAGCCGGTGTGTGAGTACAACGTAATGAAGCAGAGAACTGTGACGATAATACTAAATAAAGTTTGTTTTAAAAAAATAAAAAATTCCCTCCTTTGTTTTAGTTTTTGTTCTCACCAGGTCTCTCTGCTGCTGGTGTCTCCTCTGAGCTCGTTTGGGGTTGATTTCCAAAGTGGCAAACTTGGAGGTTCCCTCCTGCAAAACAACAAACAGTGTTTTTATGTTACATACAATTGCAATTATCCTGTGTAACAGTTTTCCACATTTCACCTACAGGGCTTTATTACCTGCAAGCAACCCAACACATCTAAATAGGAACATCAATAAACAAGCAACAGCCTGGTTTTGTTAACATTTCCCATCTATGTCAGCCACCAGACACTACCATTCATCTTTCTTTCTAAGAACTGTAGTGCCGTTGCAAAACAGTTTTGACTTTTCAATAATGTCTAATTTAATTGTGAAAAGTATCTCTGCACATCTCAGTGTGTGACGAGTGTTTCAGAGGGAAACACTGCACACTGCCTCACTTGAAGCTGGTTTAAACTGTATTTATAAGACGTTTCAGACCACACAATCAATATCAGGTAGATCATATAAACCAAAATATTGTAAATAAATATACCTAATATAAAATATCTTTAAATTAAGTATAACAACTTTTCCAGAAAAAGAAATCGCGCTTATTCTGTCGTTAATTTGACATCATGATATCATTAGACAAACTGCAACTAACAATCAATCAAAATAATAAAACATGGCAAATACTGACAGAATAATTAACAGCCAGATAACAGTATTACTTTTAACAGCAATCGTCATGACGATGCTTAAAGGGGCATCTAAGCAATTTAGTGCTGACACATTTAAAGGAATAGTCAAAATGTTGTTTAGTCCCAAGCAGAGTTCAACCACAATTACACTGCATTTCCCAGAATGAAATAAAACTGAGCTTCATGTGTAAAATCAATTATGAAAATATAACAATAGATCCATAAACCAAATAAATTACTGTTGTTTTTTTTATAACACACAGTCTGGTCTGGGGTTCCTTTTGTTTATGCTGTTTTAACAAGAGGAACGTGCAGCTCTCGGGGGTTACCAAGTGGGAACTTCCCTTTCATGGATGTTTTGTTGAACTCAGCCCGAAATATTTCTAAAAGCTTCATTCTGAATTCTGGCACACTTTTAACCTGCTGAAGTATACATTGTAAATATATTCAACCCAACCCTAGATGTGTAGTTAGTTTAGTTTTCAAATGTCAAATTCTGTAATTACAAAGCATGAACATGAATGTGACTATATATTCATGTCCCTTCCTTGTTGCTGAATTTCAGAGGCAAAAAGTGGGAGAAAGTCCACCGCTTGGTGTTCCCAGTCAGATTCCTCAGAGTGATGTAAGGCCCAGAGGCCTTGTGCTGCCTGTGTAACTTGAGCTGATGGAGTAAAGTGAACGTAGCCTGGCCTGAGCAGATAGAGCAAGGCAGAGGCAACGCCCTGAGGTGATCTCTTACACAGGCATTAGATCACAGTTATCTACCTCTGCCAAAGGTTTCCTCCTCCCCTTGACGTCAGCTGGGTTTCCCTCAGAGGAAGCCCAGGCGTGTTCCACTAACCGTTACATCAGCAAACCACTCAGGTTTATAAAAAAGTGAGAATGAATTCACTATCTCCTGTCTTCATTCTGACACATTGATTGTTTGAGTTTTTCCAGTTATCAAATTAAAGTAATATTTATATACTATAAACCTGAGTTAGTTTCTTTTTAAGGCAACAATTTTTTTAGGATGTCTGTATCTATACTGTACTTTCCAACAAATCCCCTGAAAAAACCAAAACCAACAATGAATATATCTACTAACAACAAGTATTGTGTGTGTATCCAAAGCTTGATATATCTATTATTATTATTATTATTATTATGTATTCCTCTGTGTCATTGTTGTCCAAGAACTATTAAAAAGACATCAATGAGCAACACTGTTTATTATAATGAACACACACACACACACACACACACACACACACACACACACACACACACACACACACACACACACCACACACACACACACACTATAGTAGTTATTTTGACTCAATCACACATGCACTGTCCTGCTGTCCCAAATGCTCACTAGAGCCCCATTTATGGATTAATCCACCACTGAAAATAGTTCCCTGCAAGTGCACAATTTCTTGTTTGTTAAATCTACAGTGACAAACTGTTTTAGGAAATCACCAAACCTTTTTTGAAAATAAAACGAAAATGGTGACCTGTTTTAAAAGATGCATTTTCAAAAGCATCCAATGGGTGTGGGGCTGAGAGCCACAGACAGGAAGTCAGAACAGTAGTGAGAGATTGACTGACACATTGTTGGTTTTGGTAAGTCTTTGCTGAGCATCAGATATTTCAGGTGGGCAATATAAATAAAATCCTCTAATATGGTATTATATCATAATATTGATATTTATGGTGACACACAGTCCTTAGATATAATAACTAAAGAGGAATTACTACTTCAAATACTATAACTCCAATTATAATTATAGTTCCACTAAATTGGAGGATGTAGATAGTATAATGTTATCACTGTAGGTCTTTTGTGATGTTTTATTTTGAAACTCATGACAACAGCCGTATACTGTATGAAGCACATAGATTTGCTATCTCATTTCCTGTTTCGTTTCTCTGTGTGTCAGCTCGCGCTGCCCTTGTACCGATTGCGTCAGTATGAGCTGCAAAACACTCAGAAGGTGTCAACACCTCTCTGCATTAAACTCCATAAATCAGATTAATGATGACGTCTATCTGTCAGCTACAGGGAGCCCACCCAGGATATCATGAGTAATATATAGATACTGTGATCCAAGAACATGGTTCAAGGTGTTCTCCCCTGCAGGATGTTTCTGTGGATGTTCCTCTGCAGCTGCTATGAGACAGATGGGATGGGTCACCAAGCCATACATCCTGCTGCCATCTGCTCAGCCGCCATGCACAGACGTTATATAACTGACGCAGAATTGATGGATCTGTCCCATTCAGGGCTGATTAGAGGGAAACACTTTTTACTGTTTATTTCTGTCTATGTCTATGCTGTTATTTCTTTTTCTGAAGCTTTTTCTGATTGATGTTATCACGGTATGTGTAATTCTATACAATAGCAACGTACTGTATATTGTGACAGCGTACACTACATTTTCTGGAAATTCAAACTGTTAATAGATTATAAATATTAGGCCTTCAACTGATCCCAGAACTCAAGGTAAAGTCTAAAACCAGGAGAAGTGGACAAAGTGGCAACAACATGTTTGATATTTTAAAAATTTGAAGTCACTATTAAGAGGACGTGTGTGCTACTCGTCTGGGAGGTGACCATTAGTGAGTGTGCTGTTAAGAAGCTGTGAACTTACCTTCACCAGCAGCTCTCGGCTGAGGGAGTAGTTGTTGTCATCTGAGAAGATCTCAGACAGTTCGCGGAAGGTGCGGAAACTCTCCCTGTGAACAGACGCAGAAGTCAGCACAGGAAAAACAAGAAAATAAAGAGCCCCAACGGCCCCTCTGCCATTAACAATATACAATCTATGCATATACAGTATGTAACAATATGTATGGAGCCCACTGCTGTTAAGCCAAGACTGGAAACCTACCGTGACACTTCCTCCCAGGTCCTCTTCAGGCGGTGGATAGCGTTGCATTGCAGGGCGGAGAGGATGGCTCGCAACGAGGAGAAGTTCTTCAGTATCCGACACTCCTGAATGCAACAAGAACAATTATCCAGTCAGAAACACAAACAACAAACTGTAGTAGGACTTCAAATATTCCATATTCCTTGCGGTCTCATGAGCTACCAGGAGACCTTCAAATGTCTAAAATATCTGTTTCAACTGTTTTTAAGTTCAAATAAACTAAGTAAACCAGATTGTGGTTGCTCACCCGAGCCACGTCTATCCACCTCTCCAGTAGCCTGGCTCTCTGGTTGGGCTTCAGCGTCGGGTTGCTCAGGCAGGTAGTGATGACGCAGTTGGTGACAGAGTTAAACTGGGCCACAGTGGCTCTGATTGTGGGAGCCAGGTGCTCCTTCCCCTTCTTATCTCGCTGAGACCAGATCCCCCCCAGACAGTGGTAGGGCACCACCTTCTTAAACAGATCCTGGACAGAGAGAGAAACAAGAGACATGTCAAACATTTACAGAACAGTATGAATACAGCATTTAAATACTCTATCTTAACCACCAAACCAGGAAATTTGCATGTGTTGAGTAAGTGAGACTATGATTATGTGGTTTAAAGGGTAATTTCACACAGGAAGTTTACTAGTAATTAGGAGTCCCAATAAGCATGTGACAATAACAGTTGTTTCAGATGAAATAATTAAATGAAGACATAATTTCTTCTGGGTCTGGAAGGGATTTTAAAAGATGTGGGCATTTAGCAGTCAAAAGGGCCTCACAAAAAGATGCATTACGGGCATTATGGGATTCCCCAGCTTTAATAGTAAATCATTGGTAACCCTAACCCATTAAAAATATAGTTTAAAAGGCTGTTTGGCATCTAAAAATCATCATCAAATCATAATCATGGAAGACCAAAGCTTCTTTAAATGAACTGAAAGAGAGTTTTTAAAAACAGTCCTGGCTGCAACTGCATCGTAAACCAAATATAAAGACTGTTGATCGGAAATAAAAAAGGACATATGAAAATATCACCTTGGGCTTGAGGAAATTATGGCCCTTTTTTTTCTGAGACTACATCTGTTGGTATGGGAAAGGGAAACATGCTCACCGCGTCCATGAGTGTGAACTGCTCTGCCACCATGATGGGGTCAAACGACAGGAAACTGAAAGCAGGAAGCTCGTCCTCAAAGCCACTCTCTTCCTGCGTAGCAAAAGGGCAGCCGATGTGCTCCACTGAAGAGATAAAAAAAAAAAAAAACTTTTTCACTACACTGCCTCAACCTGAGCTCAACCTAAACACAGTTCCTGCTCTTCCCATCGTGTCCCCACCCAGGGTTTGAAATTTTCACTCAGTGCTCAATCTCATGTGTGCTGATAGCGACTGTCAACTAGTCCTTATCACTTGCACAACCAAACTGTTCTTTGCAACGACAAGTATTACAACATGTGAACAGACATTGTGTCTGCAGCTGTGCAGCTGTCTATGTGTTATTGTACATGAGGACAAATTGTTTGCACTTGTAAAAAAAAAAAAAAAAGTTTGAAGTCAAATCTAGCATATCTCTTAGGTACATCTTGACTAGTTTCTACTGGGACCCCTCTATTCTGAGGTCCCTGTCCTGTTGTCCCTCTCCTGTCCTGCCTTCATACCATCAGGATCAGGCTCACACTGCTGTCGACGATGGAAGTGGGCCAGCAGGTTGCGGGCGCGGCGCTCCAGGTCCGAGCCTGGGAAGTGGCGGTGAAGGTAGGACAGAAGCTGGTGCAGACAGTCGTAGTTCGGAGGGCTCCAGAAGTCCTCAGAGTACTGGTCCAGCCACGCGCCCAGGATGGATGAAACAGTGCTGCAACACAGAAAGGAAAAGACGTCGTGATATAAATTGTAAAATAACCATGAAGTATAATTTGAGGTACAAATTTAAGGTGATTTTTACCTAAATATAAATGCTAAATAAATTCTTTGAGTGAGGAAAGCAAACCTTATCAAAGAAAGTGTTGTGTTCTTTCAGAGAATGAGATGAGTTATGCTAATACTGCTAAAATGACAGCACCTACCTAGTTATGCTAACATGGATGACAAGGTATCTGGTCATTCAGGGGTGTCACTGAGGCATTTTAACAAACTATTTAAGAGAATAGAGAAAAGTTGAACTGATTAAGCCCTGTGGGATCAACAAGAGATGCCAGCAATGCTGATGATCCGTTTTTAGTAAAACTGAAGCTACAAAGGTCAGTAAAAGCTTAAGTGTTTTTCTTGTGATTTATTACATTTCATCAGTTCGTGAACTGTGTTTTATCATCCCCCACCAGCCCAGTCTGACAGGTGTCTAGCAAAGAAAAATAACCCACTAAAACTTCAAACTGTTGATATCCCTTTAACCCGGGGAGGAGTGGGATGAGGCTCTGTGCTGTGAATGTACTCGGTGATTAATGTTGGCAGCTCGACACTGAAGGTTGCAGCAGACTCACTTTCTCAGCTCTGTGCAGTCGTCCTGGGAGACTCTGTGTGCTGTGGCTGCAGGGACATTTTGGAGCTTGGCATACCTAAAAAAGAAACACAAGTTCAGTCTTGTTCAGCCAAGGTAATAAAAAAAACACTTAATTTTAACATGTCATACAATGGACTTGAAATAAAGAGGACCCTGTGTGCTCAGTATCTAAAAACACACCTATTGTAATTTTTTTGATTTTCTGCATTCAGAAAAAGTTTTTTTCTAACTTTAGCCTCGGTAACCAAAAAAAAAGATATATTTTTTTAACCAAAATACATTTCCATGTAACATATATAACACAACATATAAATGAAACCAAAGCTTATATACAGCAAGGAATTAAATAATAAAGCAGAACACTGAAGAAAAAAAATGACATTTGTGGCATTTGAAGTGAAATGTATCTCCTCAAATTCAAACAATATCCGACAGCTTCAAAGTGTGATCATATTTATAAAAAATTACATAAAAATGCAATTTTCTGTTCATTTTCAGAGAGCTTTTTTGATTCCTTCCTCCTTTAAACATCTTGAGACCCCTAAGATTTCTCCCTCCGGCTAGTGTGCAGACAGTTGTGTCATCTACCATTACTGTACCTGTTGAGCAGGAGATCCAGCACCTGCTTAGTGGTGGCGAAGGAGCGGTAGGTGCAGAGGAAGATGGTGACGTAGGTGGAGTCTTTACCCCTGAACGCCGACACCATGTACTCCACCAGCCTCTCCAGCGTGCCGGCCTTGATGGTCCGCACCTTGCAGGTCTCGTAGAGGCTCAGGGCAGAGTCCGTCTCCACGCCCAGCCATCGTTGCCCCTTACTGGCCGACTGGTGAAGCTGCACCTTCCTCAGCGTGATGGTGAAGATGGCGTCCTCCTCTGCCTCCTCGCCGATCTCCTGCGTCGAGCTCTACGAGACAGGAGAAGGAAAATAAGACATTTTAGTTCAACCAACGACCTCAGTTTTAGACTTTTCTTTGACACCAAGTACTTAGTTACAGTAGCGGTTACATGCTTAAATTTTGTGCTACGAGTCATGGTTGACTTTCATGCTGGAACAAGCTCTTCAAATATCTGCTCTGAGCAGATTAGAAGGAGTTGAAGACAGAGAAAAGATGCCATCGTTACCATGCGGAACATCGGGTTAAAAATGTCTGACATCTCATTTCGGGATGAAACCCTTTAATTATGACCATCTGTGAGACCCGGCTCTCTTCTTTTTTGGTCTGTCTCTCTGTGAGTCATACTTTGTGAATCATGTGCGTGGCCGTGCACAAACAAACAATAGCTTGTTACTAAACAGAGCTTACTGGATAACTGGCACTACAATACAAGCTGCAGCCTGTATATACCCAACAGGGAATTAACACAAGCCGCTTGTTGCATGAATGAGAGCTCTGTAGGCTGTTGCATGTCACCGTCACAGCATTTTGTTGTTGTTTTCTCCTGAAACTTGAAAAACAAAAAAATGCAACATGCCACAAAAGAACAGCGTGATGTTGACAGATAGTTTCATTCATCATCACGGCGATCAACAACAGCCACGCATCTAACCCACATTAGCACTGCTGAATGTTACCCAACAGAAACTAATCAATGGATTACCAAACTAAACTCCACTTTAAAGCCAGCTGGTTAGCCAAATAAGCTGAGTAACTTCTGACATCTTACGAGTAAAACCAGATCTTTGTTTATGGATATTAATTAGTGCTGTCAAACGATTAAAATGTTTAATCGCGATTAATCGCATTATGTCATAGTTAACTCACAATTAATCACACATTTTTATCTATTCTAAATGTCCCTTGATTTCTTTTTGTCCCATTATTTTTTTCTCATTTTAATGCTCTTATCAACATGGAAAAGTGGATCGGCTTGCTTTGTGCAAATGTTGTTTTTATTGAAAGGTCATCCATTGTCGCCTGGCTTTGACGAGGAGGGGAGAATTCGCATCAGCTGTGTGCTTCGCCATCAAGTGGTATTTCAGACTGGACGTGCTGCGATGATAGCTCAGTTCACAACGACAAAACACACAGATCACTTTGGTCTTGTCAATGGAACCATTTGGCAACTTTTTAAAAGTAAACTTTCCATTCAGAATATTATTGGCATCCATTTCGGCCAAAAACAATGTTAATCTCGCGCTACAAAAATTGACGCCGTTAAGATGGGTTTGCGTTAACGCCGTCAATAACGCATTTAACGGACAGCACTAATATTAATAGACTTTTATTGTTTGTGAAACAACATTTCTAGGTCTATAAAGTGGCTGGGAAATGAATAATAAAAAACAGGTGAAAATAAAATTGTAAGCTACAGCCCTAATTTCATTATCATTCGAGTATGAATGAGTATCAGAAAAATGTCTACTTTTTGAAATAGAAATTTCTGCATTTCTGAAATCTGCACAAAACATTGACTAAACACTGAAAACAGACAGCATTAGTGGTCTGTGAACACCAGACTGAAACCAGTGCCAGTATCGACTGGGAAGAGGTCAAAGTCATCGATACTGCAATATTGATTTTAAAGGCCTGAGTCGGTACCATACTGTGTTTTCAGTACTATTTTCAGTAGTATTATAATGAAGGTATGAACATATACCAAAAGGTTTGAATATGTTAATTATTCTGAGACAAATTTGTCTTTGCTGACTATATAAAATAAAACAGACTTCACTTTTTCACATTAAAACTGAATTTGTCATCTTTTCATTTGAATTTAGAGAGGGGAAACAGTAGTATTGAAGCTAAAGTTTAATCATTAAAAAATACTCCAACAGTGTATTTCTTACATTTCTAAAATAGAGAACTTCTTATCTAAGTTAATACTCTAAAACCTAATACTACTAATAGCTATAAGCCTAATAGTTAATACTCTAAAGGACTTAAGCCGCCTGCTATCACTAAAGAATTTCAAAATCCCATTGCAGTTTTATGCAAACATTTGTACAACTCAGTAGCACAACTAAATGTGACAGTTTATCACACAACAGCATGAGCCTCCATCAGCAGTCACTGCTGAAAGATAAACCTTGACAGTCTGAGCACTGAGGCTGTTGAACACATCTAACCTAAATAGCAGAGCTACAGTGGCATGAATCATTAAAGCCGAGGCCTCGATGGAGGAATGGTATGTAATCTGGCATGCCACAATCATCCGTCACGGACGGCCCCTTGTAGTGCATCCTGGGAGCATTAGTCATCAGAGTCCATTTCCAAGGCTCAGTGTGACTCCCTGCTTCACAGCCTGCTTTTTTTGGTCAAGATCTGTTTGGTTACATCTCAGTCAACACTAAGTCCCTCTGTTGTGTCAGTGTTACCATGGAGACAAGCTCAAATGAGGATGGCTGTGAATCTGGAAAACCAGTGTAATGAGTGATACAGTACCTTCAAGCACTTCATCTGTTCTTACATTTCAGTTTCATGTTTTGGACACGATTAAAGATGTGGATTTAAAACTGAGTACTGAGACAAAGAATGTCACAAGGTTTATGATCTATCAGTAAAGACAGCAAGAACACTGGACAAAGTCAACAAAATGATATCAACAACATAACACCAAGAAAAACACACACGCAGGGCATGTTAAAAGATTAGTGTCAGTCCTCCAACAAGAGAATAAGATCATCTTCTCATAATAATAATGAACAGAAGAAGGCTAGTGCTGTTCTACATACTTGAAAAGTGATAACAACTTAAACACACACACAAAAAAAGCAAGCTTTCCCACTATGATCAGAACAATGAAGATTCAAGCTCACACAGAACTTGAACTTCAGTAACCCCAGCATAGACCCTTAACCGAGTGTGTTACAGAGGGAGGGTGAATGGCGGGAGAGGAGACAAACCCCTGGACTGTTGTAAATCCTGTACAGTATAATGGCTGAGGCACAGCTGCAACGGAGGGCCCTGACAGCAGGAGAGGTGCTTATCAGCCAAGCCACAGGGGCCGCGCTGCTATCACTTCAAGCTCTGAAAAATGCAGCACTCAAGGGCAGCGCCTCGTTCCATCCACCGAGTCAGTTCCCACCATAATGCTCCTATTCATCCCTGTTACAGCGAGGACGAGCGTTGCCATGATAACCAAACTCTGCCTACTACTTGAACAAAACACAGAACGATCAATACTTTAAATAGAAGGGTTCGGTGTCACTTCAAAAGGGCTGAAACACTTCAATAGAAAGGATGGAACAGATAATAGCTGAGATTAGCGGAGGCTTTTGAAATCTAAAACATTAAAATATCCAAAATACGGAAAGTCGAGACAAGCGGAAACATCTAAAGACCAAAACTTAAAGACTAATAGGTTGCCAAGAGACCACTTCAAATAAAAAAGGGCTTAAGCTTTAGTTGTTAAATTGGTCTTAAATTTGAAGAACGCAATTTACACTTGCAGCTGGTGATGAGGGACTCTTCTCTCAGAGTCTTTCTAAAGGTTTGTTTGGTCCACCTCTCCATTTGGATTAAATGTCTTGAGAATGAACTGTGTTCCTTGTGAGTGAATAAGATAAAACCTCTCTGGGCACTTCACTCAGATACCTTGGGTTCTACAAATGTGGAAAGATCTTTACAATTCAATCAGGGTTGCAGTATTTTAGCACACAGCAAGTGTCAGACTCCACCAGCTAAACAAGCCACACCGTCTTGAACTGGGTCCCAGTGCGACTACAATTTCTGACAGTCGATGAGAAACTCTAAGTGTAAATAAGAGGGAATTCCCACTGAAATGTGGACAGGAAGCTACCCCACTGTCTTCCTTTTTAAATATAGGTTTGTCTCACATTCCTTCAGCCTGACTCAGTGCTTAGTCAACCGGAGCGGCACCATTATGGTTACAAACAAACTGGAAGTGGCTACTAAAGATAGGCAGCTTTCTCAGCACCCTAGTTCAACAAATAGGATACTTTGGAAATAAATACTTATATACGTAGCGGACCAAACAATAAAAGAAAACGCAGCTTAACGTAGTTGTATTTGCCTTTTTAATTGCTCACAGAAGAATTCTGCTTCATTGGAATTCAGTGACTCCACCGTCATGTAACCCTAACCCTAGTTCTGTGATCTCTCGTCATTCCTGAAACTTAATTAATTCATTTGCATTAAGAGAATTTTACTCCCACCAAGATCTGCTTTTTAGAGGCCTGTTATCTAATGCGATGTAACTGTGAGACTCTTCTCTGTCTTTTTTTTCTTCTTCTTTTGTGCTCACATTTGTACTCACGTTTTCCTTTCCGATCAGCCATAACATTTTGAGCACTGACAGGTGAAGTGAATAACACTGATTATCTGGTTATCATGGCACCTGTCAGTGAGTGGGATGTATTAGGCAGCAAGTGAACATTTTGTCCTCAAGTTGATGTGTTAGAAGCAGGAAAAAGGAGGATTTGAGCGATTTTGACGAGGGCCAAATTGTGATGGCTAGACGAATGGGTCAGAGCATCTCCCTCGAACTATCATAACACACAGTGCATCACAGTCTGTTGGTATGGGGCTGCATAACATTATGATCACCAGGACGCCCAGGTGGTCATAATGTTGTGGCTAATCAGTGTAAATACATGGGAAGAATAGTAACGTTGAATGCAATGTAAAACTATAAATGTATCTCATTAAACTCTGATATTAATATTCTGTCAGGAGTTTTTTGTCTCCTCGTTTGAGTTTGAATAATATCAGAAATGGGAAATCTCCAGCAGGGTACACAGAAATGTCTGGCATCCAGAGTCAGCCTCCTCCACACTCGCTCCAACACTTATCAGATCTGCATTCACCTACACCATCCTGACCATGAATGACCATGAGTGTACATGAGGGCTGGAAGAATGTGAGGCGAATAAAAGTGTCAGCAAAGAGTGATGAGGCACAGAAAGGGAAATAGGTTTTCAGAAAGAGGAAAAGGGAAAACCAA